GCGAAAATGATGAAGAAACATGTTCAAAAGATGAATACACATTTTAAGCGTATACATACTGTGGATGGAAGAAATCCTACACCAGTTGATAGGTGGTTTATCCCATTAGTTATAGGGTTTCAACCATCCAAGGTGGTGCAGGATTTCTTCCATCAACAGTATGTATACAGGCACATACAAGGAACATCATAAACCAGAAAGTATCGAACTGAAGTAGCCTAGATTAGGCTTTATTGATTTCGTACATGCTCAACATTGCTCACCGCATTCGACCAAAGTATTGATTCCAACACGGCTGCAAGTTTGTTGGACAAGGGCAGGTTCCATTCATTTCCATTAGAATTTGGGAGTTCTGAGGGTGAATATCCCTGGCTCCCAGTTGGTTTGCAGCTCTAAGATGCACCAGGTGTGTTGAACTCGAAGGAGTCCGACATTGCGAGGAGGGAACTGAGTAAAGAATCTCAGCTGGGGTCAAAGCTGTCTTTTTTAATGTTCGACAGAACCTTGGGGTCAGCAAAATGCACTTTCACAGTGACTGGGCAGCAGGTCGCTTGGCGCCAAGGGAATCACAAGAATCCAGAAACCAATGTTTTTGTGTGTGTGTTTTTGGATATTTTTGGATATTCAAATGAGATGTTTCAAAAGTGAGTGCCAGACTCGGAGACTCATTTGGACACTGAGCGCAAACACCGAGGTTCGCTTCTTTCGCGCATGGACCGTTCTGCTGTGGAAGGCCAGGGCTTGAGTTATCTTGGAGGAGCTTCGGGGCGCAACCACCACAATATGTGAATTCATGTCAATTCATGTCAAATCCATTTAAATCCAGTGTAGCTTGAAAGGCAGAAATATATGTCAGCAAACGTGGAGTAAAGCAGACATTGTAATACATGAAACCAATTGAAGCCAATGCCTCGGGAGGCATGGTTCGCAGACTCTATGGGGTTTTGCAGCAAGAAACTCAGGGTTGCAACTTGTGGAACATGTGGAAGCAGCTGAGCTAATTGCAGGGATGTACTAGTTGGAAACACCAAAAAAAGGTTCCGACATCTTCCGACAACTCTGACATGGGACGCAACTATACAGACTATATACCTTTGCTGACTTTGCCATTTCCGTCTTTAGCCCTTTCCATAGCAAAGTCTTGTTGCATGGAAGTGGAGCCGTTTGCGTCACCACACCTTCCACTCCAACCCACGCGTTGCTCCTCCAAGGCGAAAAAACAAAGCGATCTCTCAGTTGGAAACAGAGGCGTGTTGGCAACTTACATGGGCGATGTGGAGTTGGGAAGAAGTCAAGTGATCCAGGGGAAGGGGTTAAGTGGCTAATTCCCTCGTGGTGTGTATTTGGATTTCGGACCTTTTTTGTTTGAGTGCTTTGAGCGTTTTGACTGCAATGGCCTCAAAAGTGAAGCATCCACTCATATCTCGCACGGACACAGACCACAAACAGCGCAGGCTGCCAAAAAGTCTGCAAAAGGAGCAGGCTCATCTCTGCCGTGTGTCTGTGATTTGAGCCCTGACACATTTGCCCCTCGCAACCCTGGATGAGTTTTGGTGAGAGATGGAAGCGTTTCGGTTTCTCCACATACGTTTTTCATTGTTTTTTTTACCTCGTCTTGAAGCGTCAAAGTGGACCCGGTGAAACAACTTGGCCTCCACCAGGGCGCACCACTTCCTTACCTCAGACTGAGAGGCTGATGGCAGGGCAGAAGTTTTTGAGCTGGGCATCGCTTCCCCCGGCATTTTGTGACAAAAGTCATGAGTCCAGTCATGGTTTCAAATGAAAACAGCAAGCCATGTATTCTTGAAAGCGGTCTCTGCAGTCTTTCGATGCCTATGCAGTCGGTATCTTTTGGTAAAACTTTCCCAATAGGAGCAGCTACCTGCGCCCGATGAATGAATTGGAAGATATTGACTCCAAAGAATCCAGCTGACTCAATGGACCAGGTGCTTCACAGAATCCAGCGGGGGCCGTTTTTTGTGTCTTTTCCAGGAAGCGTTCTGGAGGCCTTCATACTCCGCGTGCCAGGGCCTTGTCACAGTTCTCTCAACGTCCTGCTGGATTTATTACGATTTGTCAACTGTGCAGTGTGCCGCCCGAAAAGTGCAATGAGCAAAAAGGGTGATGAGGGTGGTACCGTACAAACTACCCTATACAGTAGCTAAAATATGCTACAATTGCTACAATGCTTGATTGTTCTTTCTAACTGGTTTGGTCGGGGTTCGGGGGGAGCTGGACTCTCAAAGTCAGGCCCGGTTCCCTGCTTATATCATTGGAAAGCTGTGCTAGTATATACAGAGCTGAATCTGAAGATACGCTTCGATGCTATTGTTGAGAAAGTGCAATCAAATTCGATTTGATTCAGTAATTACTTGCTTCATTTTGGAATACTCATTTCGGAAACGACATGTCCTGTGTAGTGACAAGAGATGCCAACATCAGCTTCGATCAAGCTTGTCGCTGAGGACAACCACTCCCTGCCGGGTGCCGTCGAGCAGGCGCGTAGATTGCATGCTTGGCGCCGACCAAAATGCAACGTGAAAAGATGTTAAAAGGGGAAACAGACAGCACATGGCGGCTCGTTTTTTTTTGGATATTGTGAGATCACTTCTTGCGTGCTTAGGTTTTGACGTCGGACTGAACTTGTCAACCCCGAGTAATGGATGCGAACATGAAGAATGTAGTGTCAGTTTCTGGCCTTTAGTGGTTTCAGCATTCTTCTGACCATACTTCTGAGTGGGAGCCAAGCCAATCATGCAAAAGATCCCATTCACAGTGAACAAATGCTGGAGCAAATTTCTCTGTTGCACATAGTCACTTGGCATAGTCAAGTTTCTACCATACTGTGTAGCATGTGTAAAGCGAATGTCTGTACGAGAATTGTGAACCAAGTGTTGGCTAGAAGTCAAGTGCTCGTGCTGACAGCTCGCACTGCCGCAGGGAGCCGCTGGACAAAAGGACCCAGCTGTTAAACAAACGACCGCATCGTGGATGATTTGTCGATATGTGGAGCCGTCTTGAATATCTTGACTTTTCTTATTCCGACTGAGAGCCATCCGACTTGCAAACCAAATTCTACACAATGGTTCTTGTAAGTTTTTCTCTGCTGATGTGTTTCTGTGCAAAGGTTTTGCCCCAGCATGATGATGAATCAGGTGAATCTTCAGACAATTTGAAATAGCATAGTCATTGGAGATCTCATTAATGTCGGAGTGAATAAACAAAGGCATTTTGGTTGCGACCTCTTTCCGAAACCTTAACATAGAGCTTACAGGTGCACTGACATTGGCAATCATGTCAAATCATCAAAACCATCAGCCACCATAAGTACGGTCAACTGTAATGTCAACCCTGGATTAAGAAACCCCAAACGGTTATTTAATTGGGAAGGTACCATTTAAGTATCAAATAATGACTATTGGGGGAATACTAATTAATAAACCATGGTTTAGTCTCATCCGGGGTTGACATTAATGGTTTGACACTGATGGTGAATTGGCATGAATTGGCTGGGCTCCATGGCTTCTTTGAACCAGGATGCGACTTCAGTACCGAGGACCTTGCGGTGCCCTCTGAAGAGCTGTTTGTTTCCGACTCTGCTGTGGATCCAGTCACGACGCTTTTCAGTTCATGGATCATCATTTTTCATCATTTTTCATCATTTTTCGTCATTTTCCATCATTTTTCATCATTTTTCATCATTTGTCATCATTTTTCATCATTTTTCATCATTTTTCATCATGTTTCATCATTTTTCATGTGCTCACCTGGGCTCACCTTATTGAGATCATCTCAAGAATTCTCAAGTACCTCTCAATTTTGATTCATTTTTTAGGTCCAGAGAAGCATGCCCCCAGGGCGCCCCTTGGGGTCAGGCCCACTGAGAACTTTGGTTCGAGTGCAAAGATATCAAGCAACATCTCTCCATAATATGCAGCTTTGATCTGATTGTAAATTTATATAATTTATAGATATTTATAGTATTACAGTAAATATGTACTGTATAATCTGTTTTTTTGTTTGAACATGCTTTAGAATATGTTTGACGACAGACTGGCGCAGATTTCCAAGCGCGAAACATATCAGCGGCCTTTCGCCCTGCACGAAATCAGCGGCTGTGGCCTCCATGGCAGATGTGGGAAGTGGCATTGCAACATTGCCAGGAGCGGGGCAGCAGGATCGAAATCTACTGTGAGTTAATAGCCATTAATAGCACCTTACTGTATATGACTATTTCGATATAAATTTCTATTGTATTGTACTTTCTGTTTCATACTGTACCAGTACAGAATACTCCAGACTACGCTTGGTCATTGATTGCATGTGACTTGTATAGGCATTTTTCTAGATTTGAGTGCCTGCCACTTTCGGAAATCCTACATGCGAAAAAGATGAAGATATCCTCCATAGTTTCCACTCTTTCAGCCGCTAGCCCATTCAGCGAATTGAAGGAGAACCTGGAGCCCCGGGACCTGTTTCCACTTCTTTGCGTCCCTTGCTGTCAAGCTTCATTTCATAGTGCCAGGGCTTTCGTGCCAGCTGCTTGGAGCTCTGTGACCACCAGATCTGAAAGGTCAAGAGATTCAAGAGATCAAAAGAGAGTATAAAAGCCGCTGCCTCTGCACCAAGCTATCCAACTCCTGCTACACTCTCATGTTGGATCGGGTACATCCGACCCAAGAATGGATTCCACGGATATAGTCCCTTTCCAAGAGCAGTGGTGCCATAATTTAAGCCTGCCCAAAAGAGGGACAGATGAATAGATTGCCGTTTTAAGGATTCTACATGTCCAGACAGTTTTGGTTGCATCAGACTTTTTGAATCTTTTTGATATCTGATTCTGTTACATAATTCAGCATAATTATTACCCTCTGGTAAACGTTTACATAGCGAACTGGAAAATCACCATGTTCAATGGGTAAATCCACTATCGACTGGGCCATTTTCAATAGCAAACTGTAACAAATTACCAGAGGGTAATCCGTATAAATTTGATCCCTATGGTCCCTATATGGTCCCTATATGGTCCCCATAGTAGTGAGGCCAGCAAAGCGACCTTCCAGCGCCTCACTGCGGGCGGCTTGCTACGGCCCACACATGTGACCTCGCGGGTGGCGCTATCGCCCGTGTGGCCCCATCGAATTTGCCCAAGCTGTGACCCGGCCCCAAAGGAAGTGGTGAATTTTGTTTAGAAAATTACGAAAAGATAAAAACAAACAAGTTTTCTGAGAATTTTATGATAGAATTTCTAGAATTTTTCTACAATTCTGAATTTTGTTTAGATTATAGAAAGACTCAGAAATTTATAGAAACGACAGGTTTTCTTCGCTCCAAACCACCATTCTTGGCAGGTACACGCTTAGATCGTCATAGATTCAGGTGGTGCTGCGCATGCAGTTGAGGCCAACAAAAAGCGTGGTGTACTTCAGGTCCGCATCCAAAATCCGTAAGACTCACCCTTCAGCAAGATGTATGATCGACTATCCTCAAGCACATGTATGATGTTCACAGCGCACGGGCTTTAACTTGCAGGCGTCAATCCTTGCGTAGGGAATCTTGAGACATAGCTACAATGGCATCATTGTGGCACGTACCATCTTTTTGCCGTTAAATCTTGTTGATGTAAAAGATTGTTCCATCTTGAGTTCTAACTTCAGCCTGCTGGGCACCGGAGAGCAGTCTCAGCACTCCGAGGCATTGAGACGGTGGTTCTGCACACTGCTGCCCCGAGATCCTTTTATGAGTCCCTGCCCAAACTCCGGAGATTCTCGGATGCCAGCAATTTGTGCATCAGGGACACTGAATTGCTTCATTTGACGAGTGAGACACACCAAGTTGCCTTGAGCTGTGGCGGACACGTACAGTCTCGTTGGTAGGGTTGGACGGATTTGGTGGGTGTGTTTGCCGTGATGTTCCATCAATTGGTTTGGACAAAGAACCAAGGTCTGGAGGAACAGACATAGGAATCCTGGACAAAGGTGTAACCGTGGAAGGGCGAAGATTGCGAGGGTAGTTGCAGCTGCAACCGAGGTGTTTCATGGTGCATGGCAAATCCAATCTGGTCTTCTGACCTTCCTCGTCCAAGTCCCACCTTCATGTTGCCTGGTTTGCCTCGCATGATGCTTTACCTGGACCTGATACGAAGAGGCTCGAAGACTTTCGTGACACTCCAAGTGACTTGCCCGCAAGTGGTGCCATGTGGTGCCCTGATGTGGTGCCCTGATGTGGTGGGATTGCTGGGGTATTGTAAGGGTAGGGCTGCCACGGTGCGGTGTGGAGGTTGAGCGCTTGGATCACGACTCGGCGGTGCTGCCTCTGTTTTTGTCCGTCTCCTTGCGGAAGCAGCTGCCCAGCTCGGAGCCCGAATTCGGAAAGGTGAGACATGGCCACGGCGATGTGGCGCGCAGGGAACTGGAGAAGGCCTTGAGCTTGGCATATCTGCAGTCTTTGCAGCGTCATGAAGCGGTGATGATGGCTCCTGGGGATGAAATAACGGGACTTTGTCTATTTGGTGAAATAGTTTGGTCACAGTTTTGGCAAAACCTCCAGTGTTTTTCGGGCCAAGTCGACAGTCGTAGTTGCCCCTTTGGCGTCCTTGCTTCCACTTCTTGACGGAGGGTAGACAACAAGAATTGGCAGTGTGTCAAAACCAATAGTACCCCTGTAGTTCACATCAAAATAGCTGGGATTCATGGATTTTCATCCCACTAAAAATGGTAATACTATAGGTATTGACCCATACCCAATTCAGAATTATGAACAGCTCCATGACTCCATCCTGGCCACCAGTGGCGGCCCACCAGGTCTTACCAGCTGAAAGCTCCTCCTATGGCGGTATCGAGCAGTTCACCGAGATGGTGGAAGCGGCAAAGTGGGAGGTCCACTTCGCAGCGACTGCCGCCAGTCAGGAGGAGCTTGGCTGCTTGCAGGTGACCCGGACATGTTTTCTTTCCAGTATCCGTAGTATCTTGTAATCATTTGTATCCTATTGTATCCTATTGTAATCATTTGTAATCATTGGTAATCATTTGTAATCCCATCAATGAGCTTTGGATATGTTTGGATACTCTTGAGCACTTAAGCATGGTAGCAGCACAGGCGGTGTGGCACTGACACAGCTCCGCTATATAGGCTAGATGCATGAAACCGGCAAAGAAAACTTCAGATGGAATTCTGAATTATTGGAAATAATTATGATCATCTCGACCATAACTATTTTGGTGATGGTCTTTGTGAGCCCATGGTGCATAAGGCAAGGCTCCAAATGGCATAAGCTTTTGGAACATATACTTCAACAGTCTAAGTTGAGGGATTTGTTGGGGGTAAGTGCTGCTTTACTTCTGGAGGTCAAATCAGACACAGCCACATGGAGAGTTTCTCAGCCGCATTACGTGGATGAACCAATGGATCAGAGATTTCAACTTTGCGAAAGTGTGCCTTTTTTATAGCACGTGTGAACATTGGCCGCCCCAGAAAGAAAGAACCATACAGGCGCCTGAAGCCGAAACTCTCCATGTGATCGAAAACTGGGATCGCCTGAAGCTGCTTGGATCTCACTGATCACCACCCCGCCTAAAATCTGAGGTTGGAAATGCAAAGAAAGTCTTGAACTGCGGCGGAGTATCATCCGAACCTTTCTCCCTGTCAGGCTTACGAGGACTCTCTGACCAGCAGATGTTTGAGGAAAGCAAATGTGAGTGGTATTAGTTTGCGCGAATTGATACCAACATTAAAATTTGTCCAAGTGGTATCAAGTTGGAGGATTCATTTGGGTTCAAAATGCTTAGCTGGGCACAGTCGTTCAAGGGGGGGTTGTACAAAAAGGACATGTAGCTGTGCAACGGCCCTGCAATATTTGGAGAATTGAAGGGTAATAAATAAATAAATAAATGTATATATATATATATATTATATAATTGTAATAAAAATAATCATGATGATAATGACGACGACGACGACGACAACAACAGCAGCAGCAGCAACAACAACAACAGTAATAATAATAAATATATAATTAGAACGAGCTAATGTTCTTGTGCTATTTGAGCGAAGACTTCGGGATTCTCTGAGTCTTCGGCCCGTTGTGTGCTTCGAAATGATGGCCTAAAGATCACCATGAGCCGAAACAGCATTAAGGCATTTCACCAGCAGGGTGCGGGATCTTTTTGGTGGAGGATGCAAAGGAAATACATGGAAATAACATGCAACAAAATCAAAAGAAGTACAAAGAAGTTGTAGAAATAAACGATTCCGGTGGACTTGGTGGACTTGAAGCTAATTCGACATTGCCAGTGGCGCGCCACAGGAACCTGGACCATGGATCTGAAATCGTCGAGTGCTCCGGTTCTGAGTTTATGGCCGCCGCCTGCCCCCAGAAGCGGGCCACCGGTCCACTACCAACTGGAGCTTGGAAACTGTGGCCTGCGGACACTGGTGCAATGTAACGTGACACTGATGGGATGGGACATCTAGAATATTCCAGCACTAGAAAACCAAAAATTCCCCAAATGTGCTGGAATGTTCAGACTGCAGAATGCATTATATAACAAATCAAGTATGATCAAGTATGCATGGATTAAACATGGATGTTGGTTTCCTCTTGGAAGCCCCAATCCAACCCACCCAGAGCTATGTCCGGTAACCGAGGTAGTTTGATCCCAGGCTTTGAGGCAACCTTTCCATTGGATTTGTCCATGGTAGATCAGCATGGAGCGTTGCAGATCCGCTTGAAGCTGCTGCACTCAGAACGATCTGAAGGCCGCACCGCTCAAAAGGCAAAAACTGCAGGGATTCATAGGTCCGATTTTGAACATGATTGGAAGTTGTTGAACCATATTTTTTATTGGCTGTCAAGGCTTGCAGGGCCGTCAGGCATACATTTTGTCGAAAGAACTGGAACATTCGCCTTTGCATGGTGATCAGGCTTCGCCGTCTTTCCGGATGGTGACCACAGCTGCTTGCTAATGTGGCGCTTGGGTCAGGTTCAGCGCTTCCTAGATGCATCGGCCCTCATCGTGTCCTCGCCTGCATTTTGCATGCGCGATGACGACAACTGGGAAGGCCTGGGCCATCATGTGCTGCCTTTGGGAATCCGAATGGGGGGAAAAGCGAGAAAAGAGATGAAAAGAGGGAACTTTCAAGTCTGACCTGTTTTTACTATTTTGGAATGAATCATATTTTGGCAGATTTCTGGTACAGAGGCTTGCGCGGCTACCTAGAGCATTGACACCTTGTAGTGGTTTGAACACCGGCAGATTGGCAGGTTGTTTGTGGATCACATCGGAACTGGGTCGCTCGGACATGCAGGGGGATTTGCTCTACAGGATTCCGACATATTCCGACACCAGTACAGCAACTACATAGTCGCTATATATGTCGCATATCCTCCAGGGCTTTGGACCGAGGTGCATTTCCTGGAAATGACATAGACATGGTGGATCAATGTGGATCATGACTGGTATATAATTCTCAAAGGGGATGTCAGCAATGTGATTTAGTTAAAACATGTAAAAGATAGTTATTAGTCATTTATATTTTGAGTCTCCAGTAATCCAAGTAAATTATAACGACCTCACTACGACCTCAATGGAATCATGGTTAATAAGGGAAATTATCCCCAAATGGCCTTATTTCAGGTTAGTGAAATATTATAATTTACCCACAGTAATAACAGAGATCTCTCGAATACTGAGGCAGAGGGCTCCATCTTCAGCTCCGCTGGCCGAAGCCGCAGGGCTTTCAGCTGGGCAAACAGCAGCTGTCGGGGAAGGTGGGAGCAAGTGAATGGACAGATGCACAGGGAGAAGCTTGGGAGCAGTTTTGATGGAAGGGAGATCGTGGGAAACCTCTTGAAACCGATGTTTCTCCAAAATGGATCGTTGGAACATGTTAGAACATGATTTGGGGGGGGTGAAATTGCCCTGCTCTACTGCCCCCTTCCGGGCACTGGCATGATGATGGTTTGTCGGTCCAGCTACACCTGTCCAGCGATGACTCATCTGACGCGTTGTGACATGTCGAGCCATGCCGGGCCATGCCGGGCCATGCTGTAGTCTCTGTGCAGCACATGGAGGTGACGATCAGGGCAACGAGTTGAAGCCTTGGACGACCCATGCCACCTGCCGAAACGCTTGTGGTCCCTAGGATGTGTGGGATTGCAGCCTTGCGCAGGAAAACGATTGAACACGTGGTTTTTGAATTCTTATGACTTTCAGGACACACCTTGCTTGGAAGGCTGAGGTCCAAAGTTGATCCATTTTGATCTCTGAAAAGAAACAGTAGTTCGCCAATGTTCACCAAACATTTCCCAGGATATTTCAACATATTTCCTATTTCAAATGCATCAATGAAGAACCTCCAGCAGATCACTTTGAACTGGGCTTGAGCAAAGTTACAGGAGTCCCCGTGACAGCTGTTGTGCCCTTAGACTTGGGCAGATTGGGCGGTGGGTGGCAATCCCGATTTCGTGCAATTTCTACGTCTTATTTTCTCTTTGTGTTTTCTTTGAGAACTATTTCTGATCTATAAGTCTGAGCAATATTGAATCACTTTCTGTATCTTGGTGTCTCGCTGTATGGGCTTGGTGTATAGACTTGCTGCATAGGCTAGTATAGGATGTGGCACTGAGGTGGTGGTGGGCCTTTGCTGTCTCCACGCAGGGCCAAGGTGCAGCAGCCAGGCTGTGACATACAGAACAAGTATAACACTGCTGACTATGTGGATTCGGTTTATATAAAACCAACATGAAACTCATAAAACCATGTCAATACAATCGTTCATATCTTCAAGACAAAAGTGGAGCTTTGAGCATCCAAATATTGGCATGTTACTGTGAAAAGAGGTCCTCCCTCAAGTTTTTGATTCGGCTCAATGCGGCACTCCGGTTTTGTTGAGGGTTTGATAAATACCAGTTCGTGTGGGATTCCTCTATCTCACATTTTGAATCCTGGGCACCGATGAACCTGACACAAGTCTAGATGATACCCGGCAAAACACCACGCCAAGGCGTCAGCCTAGCTGCTTAAAGTCTTAGCTGGCAGACCTTCGTACCCTAAGAATCCGTGATGTCACAGTGATGTCAATGATTGTACGACTACCCATGTGTGATACACAAAAATAACCAACACAAGAAGGATCTTCTGACGTCTCACAATCTCAGCATAGTGGCCACATGTCTGGCCACCTCATTATTCTATCAATATACTGGTTGGTGGTTTGGAAGATTTTTTATTTTCCACAATATATGGGATGTCATCCTTCCCATTGACGAACTCATATTTTTCAGAGGGGTGGCCCAACCACCAACCAGTATACATCTCAGCTGTTTGCCATGCCAGGAAGGTGGTCAATTGGAGCAGTTCAAGCTTATGCAGGACCGATCAAAGGGATCGAAGGTTTGGAGAATCACCAAGAGCAGTCTATTACCACGGTACAATATGTCTATAGTCCTACAATCATCTATGCCGCAATGCCAATCTAAAACCTGTAGTCATTTGATGTCATTTGTATTCATATACATATAATTATATAATCTCATATATATATACACATATGTATATATGTATTTCTATCTTATTATCTATATTTTGCAGCGTACCACAAACGAGGCGCTTCTTATCTATATTTTGCCGCTTCCGTTTGGGCGAAGGGATGCACCTGGCAAGCACAACTTGTTGCAACGGTATTGGTCCCATCATGATAGCAACAAGATCCCAAAGACCAGGCCAACTGGGCTTTGGCGGTTTTGGGGTGAACTTGTGCCAAATTCTTGGCAGTGCTCACTTATTGCTAGGGCTGTTAGGGCAAGGTTACCCAGAAGCAGAAGCCAACATCCAGAGCCAAGAACGGTGTTCTTTTTTCCTCGGCCGCTACACATGTACCACGCTTCTACAAGACAGGTGTGCATAATTGAGCTCCATTCGTTGGCTGGATAGACACAAATTAAAAAAGGTATACTCCTTTGCAACTGGATAGTTTGGGATGAATAAGATGCAGAAAGTATCAAAGTGTGCATCACTTTGGAACAAGACATAGGCTTTCTTCCAACCTAGAAGTTCATGGAAGCTTCGCGTTCCAGAGAAGATTCGTTTTAAAAAAAACAATCACACATTTCATTCAGCTTCCCATTTGGAGAGACAACGCATACCTGACGTTCCCCAATCGGGAGCATCTCTTACTCGACCCCAAACTCTCCACATGATCCAGTGTTGGGACGTATTTGTACAGGTGTTCTACCAACCACTCAAGTCTGTTGTTGGTCTTGCATGGTTCAACTCCAAAGGTGCATCTTACAAGCACATCTTTACATATCTTTTAAATCTTTCAATGTATCCTGGATATTTCAATGTATTTAATGTCTCAGAATTCAGACATGGGATTTCCCGTCATCATGAACATCGAAGAGAGGCTTCAAAGATTCCTGTATGCTTGTTTTTGCACTGCGCCACGAATCAGTCTCGGAGCATTTATGCTCAGGCTTTCAGGCTCAGCTGTGGATTGAACTCCTTAGATATTGAGTAGAGGATAGTGGAGGGATATGTGAGGGTCCAGAGCCACAGTGCATCATAGTACCAAAAGGCGCACGATTTCCCTCAACTCTAGCTGCTCTCTGCCGTGCCATGCTGGCCTTCCGTCCTGGTGTTGTTCCGAGGGCGCTACCGCCGAGCCACGGCTGCATTGAACGCAGAGATGCTGCCTCTGAGCCACGCGACCATGGGACATCTTGGGCTGTCGGATCTGTCGGATCTGTCGGCTTCATCATGGTCTCGCGACTCACACGCTTCACACGACTCACACGGCGGGCCGTGCTGGAAGCTCCGACAGTGGCCATTCCGGGTGCCAAGGTGCAAGATGAAACGAGGCAGAAGAGGGCTGATCAGTGTCTGCGCCAAGGTCAGTTTGTTTTTGTTGGATCTTTGTTGGCTGTCAGCAAGTTCAATCAACAATTCGTTGCTGTAGTAGCTGTATTCGACCTGCCCCAAAACCCACAAGGTACCGACTGCTTCTCTTCACAGAGTTGTTGATGTCTTTCACTGACACGGAGCCTCGTCCTCCACCTACATTTTACGAGACAAGCGCCCAGTAAAGCACTCATATTGGTCCCCATAAAGCGCAGTAACTTTCTTTTTTCTATCCCTCAATGGACCCATGGAGGGGATCCAAATTTCGTTGTTGGTGGGCGACCATGGACCCAGAATCCTGTTTCGAGGATGGAGACAATATCCGGCTGCAGAAGGAGGGCATGTTTGTGAACGAATATGCGGCTTGGAATGTATTCGAAACATCAACAAACTATCCAACAATATTTGAAGAAAAAAAATCCAACACCTTATTGGCAAGGGGGAAGAAAACTATAAAAGGCTCCTGGATTCCTCTCGTGAGGAATTCCTTCCTCTTATGACTTCTTATGGGACAGGACAAACAAACAGACTCACCACTGGCCGGCATTTAGGCAGCAGGAAAATAGACCCTTTGTACACCAGCTCTGCTACAATTATACCAGTAGTACCGCACAAGGCGGTGGCGGAAGTTTCAAAGGTAGGAAACTATAGGAGAGGTGAGTTGTTGTGATTCATGGATGGCAGAGCGAATCCACTGATGGACCGAAACGTGGTTGGATTTGTGCTTTTTGGAGTGGTTGCAATGGTTGCAGTGGTCACCTCACCACAACTGCTGGATGTAGTGTGGTGTAGTGCAGTTGTAGTTGTAGTTGTAGGGTAGCGTAGTGGAGTTGTAGTTGTAATGTATATAGTGCAATTGGTGTAGTGTAGTTGTAGTTGCTGTTGCAGTTGTAGTTGTGGTGTGGTGTAAATAGCGTAGTGTCGTGTAGTGTACTGTAGTGTTGTGTACTGTAGTGTGGTATAGCGTAGTGTAGTCTAGTGTAGTGTAGTGTAAAGTAGTGTAGTTGTAGTTGTAGTTGTAGTTGTAGTGTAGTGTAGTGTAGTGTAGTGTAGCGCAGTGTAATGTAGTGGTAGTTGTTGTGTCATGTATGTTAATTAATGTAGTGCAGTGCTGTGTAATGTAGTGTAGTTGTAGTTGCATTTGTATTTGTAGCTGTAGTGTACTGCAGTGTAGTTGGTGTAGCGTCGTGTAATGTAGTGTAGTTGTAATTGTAGTTGTAGCTGCGGTAGCAGTAGCGGTAGCAGTAACAGTAGCAGTAGCAGTAGCAGCAGTAGCAGCAGCAGCAGGAGGAGGAGGAGTAGTAGTAGTAGTTGTAGTTGTAGTTGTAGTCTAATTAGTGTAGTGTACCGTGATCAGATGTAATTAGTGTAGTGTAGTGTAGTGTAGTGTAATTAGTGTACGTAGCGCACGGTAGCGTAGTATATTTGCATTTGTATTTGTAGTAGTAGTTTGGTGTAGTGGTAGTGGTACTTGTAGTTGCAGTTGTCTATTTATCTATCTGTCTATCTGCAAGCTTGAAAATGAAGCTATTCTGCGAGACCTCCCTCGTTTTTGAACTTGACAACATCAAAAACGCAGCAAGCCTGCGAGACTTCCTCAACTTTTGAACTTGATATCGTCAAAAACGAAGCAATTCTGCAAAACTTCCTCAATTTTTGAAGTTGGCAATTCTACGAGACTTCCTGCAAAAATGGAAAGTTGAGTGCAGAGCTGACGGCCTCGTGCCAATGCGCTTTGCGATTTTTCCAGTCCATGTGTCTAAAGTGTTGCGCCTGCCACGCAAAAGTGACGCCAGGTCATACGAAGTGCTGCACCTGTCACGCAAAATCATCTTAGCAAACCTGAACATCTGATGCTCCAAAATGCAACCCCTCTTAGGAAATCAGCGCCCTGACCTCCTAACATCTCTGATGAACATGTCTTTTGTACTGTGCCTGCCACGGAAAATGCATCTTTGCAGATCCTCTTCAAATGTCCCACGCCTGCCATGGTTCTTGGAAATGCGACTAAACCATCACGTTTTGCTCACTTTTGACAAGGTGCACAATCCCTTGCGCCTGCCACGCGAAACGACATCTGAACGCCCAAAAGTGGTCCGAACATGTGGTGTTTTTAACATTTTGACTTGGAAATGTGCTTTGCGCCACAGCGGCGTCCACTTTTTCGACATCTCAACTTCCAAAAGTGCTCCGACACAGGTGTTTTGTACATTTTGACTTGGAAACGTGCTTCGCGCCACAACGGCGTGCACCTTTTCATCATCTCAATTTCCAAAAGTGGACTGAGACCATCATTTTTTTACACTTTTGACTTGGAAATGTGCTTCGCGCCACAACGGCGTGAATTTTTCATCTCTCATCTCCCCAGACGGTTCCGCACCCGCCGCTTTAGCAAGCCTACTTTTCGACCCTCCGGAGCCACAAATCATTGGAAAAACACAGTGTTTTGCGACTATTTACCTTTTCGCGCACCTGCATCTTCTTTCCTCTGACTCTTTCCTCTGACTCTTTCCTCGGACTCTTTCTCTTCTCAGATCTTCTCAGATCTTCTTTCATCTTTTCTTCTTTTCTTTTCTTCTCTTTTCTTCTCTTTTCTTCTCTTCTCTGATCTTCTTTCTTCTTTTCTTTTCTTCTCTTCTCTTCTCTTCTCGTCTCGTCTCTTCTCTTCTCGTCTCGTCTCTTCTCTTCTCTTCGCTTCTCTTCTCTTCTCTTCTCTTCTCTGACTCTTCCCACCTCTGCTTTTCCATCTCTCCATATTGTCGGAAGTTTGGCTTCCAAACTTCCTTCGACGATTTAGTTGCTTTTTCTGCGTTTGGTGTATTTCTAGGTAGTCCTGTGCTGAGTCTGGCAGAGCCTTTCAGCAGGGTTCTAGGTCGATACTTGCGCAAGAGGATCATTGATGAACATTTCTATCCTGAAAACCTGTCTTGTACGAATGCTGCAAACTGCATCGACAGCAGGGAAACGCAGCAGCATTCTTCTTTAGGGGAATGGTTGGCATAGCTATACATAGCTCAGGTAAATGATCGCCTAGAAATCCGACGCATGGAGTATTTCGATATTGATGAGAAGGCGCGATCCTATCACGACCCTACAGGGCGAGGCTGGTTTCGAGCCTCGGAGAATGTCTCAGAACTGGTGCGCAAGAGAGATCTGATGTTCATCGAGCGGGACTTCGTGGCAAGATGTTTGATGACGGTTTGTGCATTGAAAGAGAGCAACGCATATCAGGCCGGCATACTACAAGTTCTGATGTAATGAAACTATGACTTATAATACTTATACCATGACTGGTTTTTAAGCGACAGTTGAGTTTCCGGTTTTTGGACCGTAAATTTTTGTTTGTTGATTGGTTCGGACTGATATCCAAAGTATACGCACGTGTAATGCAGCCTGCTGAAGCATACTGGTGTTCTTTCCTCCAGCCTCAGTCAATTGTCAATGCAAAGTCTCAGTCAATGTTGACAACCTCTGCGCCAGGTAATGATGAAGGCCCACACTGAGGGAGTTGCAGTGGTTGGCACGTATGATTTCGAGACTGCTGAGACGTACTGTGCAGGACTGAATGCTAAGGGTTTAAGCGCTGACATCATTCCGGTCGACAATGGTGAATAGTTTCCAATGGTTTGGACTAGCTTGCAGCTCATCCAGCTCTTCTCGTCTCAGCCTCATCTCGTCTGAGCTCAAGTACTAGTGCAGATCCACTTGCGCTATCTTGCGCTGCGGCTCTTCATGGCATATGACGAACAAAATCAGAAGCGAAGATGTGATCTGAGCATCTCTCCTGTTCTGAAGGTGGCTGGCTCTGGAAAACTCTGCTCCTTTGCTCCGCTAGGTGTGACAGCTGAGACGCGTCCAGACAGACCGAATGCACGGGTGGATTTCTGGCACAAAAAATCAAGGATTTCTGTCCGGCTGGGGAAGTTCAACTCAGCAATTGGCTATTTGTGCAATTGGTAAACTAAGTGCCCGCATTTTGCCTGACCTAACTGTAATGTCAACGCTGGATGAATAAACCCCTAGGCTGTTTAATTGGGAGGGTACCATGTACGTATTAGATTATGACTATTGGAGGAGTACCCCCCAAATTAATAAACTGATCTTTGGAATAGCTCAGGCCCAGGGGACGAGGTCCCTTCCCCATCAGCGCAGCTGGACCTGTCAGGAACAGCAACAAGCTGAGTACCTGAGGAGATTGAGGGAGTGGCCACCCTCAGAGTCTTCAATGAGAGGAATGGAGACAGTGCTGTGGGTGGAAAGATAGCAACAAGGGTATCTTTTGATTTGTTCACAGCTTCTGAGAGCATTGATCCACTTTAAGCTGACGAAAGCATGCGGAAAGCCATAATTTGGTCACGGTTTGACAGTGGGTCAGCGAGGTTTTGACCATTCTGATTGGTGCATACTTGAGAAAAGCTGCATTTGTAGCTCCCCAGAACAAAGGCATCATGCTATATTATATATATACACATATAATTACCATATTATGCATGGCAGTGCCATTCCATGGCCCTGGATTAAAAGTCCTTTTAGACCAACCTACAAATACGCGTGCACAGCGAAAGCTCTCTTTTCGGGCACCAAGGCGGGCTGGATTGAACCAGGTGGGACCGACCTAGTGGTTCGATGTCACCGGGTTTGGTGCACAGCCTTGTGGAACAACACGTTTCTTTTGGTCTTGGAGATGCGAAAGACTCGGCTTAAGGCAGCATTAGATTCAATACATGCAGAGCCCAGAACTCTTTGCCGACAACACAATCATCGGACCGTCTCAGTGTTCCTCAGAAGTGTTGCAGTCGTGTCCTTCTATTTCATCAAGATAGCTCAGTTGCAGATGGACTTCCGCAGGGCTGGTTGTGCTTCCTCTTCAGCACTAGATCCGCACCAGGAACGCAGCCCACGGTCACCACGGTCGCCTCGGGATGGGCCCATGCCGCAGGTGCTTCAAGCCATGGAATGGGGATCCATCAACACCCGACTCACTGGGAATGTAGGATGAACACTGATGGTCACTTGTGTTGATGCATATTGCGGCATGGTGGTGATGATGATGATGATGAGGATGAGGATGGGAAGGTGATGATGATGATTTGGAGCGGGAGAAGGAAGAGGCTCAGGTGGATGAGGAGGAGGAGCAGGAGCAGGAGGAGGAGACGGAGGAAAACGAGGAGGAAGTCGAGGTGAGTTTCCTGGCATGGCAATGCCCCGCGCATTTCACATGTGCACCTACTGCAAGGTAGGCCTGGGCTGCTTGAGCCCGTTGTGTTCTATCTGGTCCTTCACCATGGCAGGTTTTCCGTCGTCTCACAGCGCCTGCCACCCCTCCATCAGACCAGGCCGGAGATGTTAGGCATGTTTGGCAGAAAGCGCCGGTCATTTCGAGGATTCTAGGCTTGAACTTGCTTTGTGAAAACTCGCTTGGCACATGCACATGTTGATGTTGCCTGGGCCGTCTCCTTCTCAGTCGGATAGTATCACCATATACTCCTGAGAATCCCGAGAACAAACTTCTTCTTCTATGGCATCTTTTCTTGTCCCACATTCCTAAAACATGGCAATCGCCCATATGCCCGCACAGCCAATGGGCCGAAAGTTTATTTGAATACACCATAATACACCGATAAAGGAACATGGTAATTACAGATACGGGCGACATCCATGACTCCTGGTGATGGGGTCATCATGGGTTACCCCCATGATGACCCTGCCTTGACCGCAGATGGCGCGAATTGCGGTGGCCAACATGGGTGCCAACAAAGCCCAGGTGTCGTTCGGAGGCGGGACGGGTTTCGCACAGACTCTGGCCATATGTCGCCATTTTCTAGCCATCTCCTAGATTCCTAGCTAAGCTGGTGTAGGTACATTTTTAAAAAAACATATATAAGTATATATATATATATCTATATGTATATATATATAGATATGTATGTAATCATAATAATGATCATGATAATAATAGTAATAATATTAACAACAATAATAATATTAATATACATATATTTACATGTAATAATAATGATAAAGATAATAGTAAGATTAATAATAAACAATATTAACAATAGTATTAATATTATATATATATATATTTATATACTTGTAATAAGAATAATGAAAATGAGAATAATAATGTTAATAATAATAGTAATATTAGTACACACACACATATATATTATAATATCCCGATGTATCCCGCTATCCCACCTGCAGGTCCCTTGGCAGAGTCCACTGATGCGTCCCAATACTTGGATGCCTTGCTGGAGGTCAGGGTTGGCTTGATACAAAGGATGCTTGGGCCAGGGAAATCTAAAAGGAAACGATGAATTTGAATGTGTGATAAGGTGCGAGGGAATTCAGATGCTCAAAACTACTCAGCGGACGAAGCCTTGTGAACACACAGCAGCACTATGTTGTTCCCCAAAGCAGATGAATCACATTAGTTTCTGATGTGCTTAGGATGATTGTCATTTTTTACTAGTGCCTAGTATTGCACTCTGTGGTCACGTTTTATGATTTTAGGATATTTTAGTTTTTCTTAAACCCATTTGTTGTATGACTTTTGAGTGTATGTCTTAAATCACGTTTGTCCCTTTGGTCGCTGGGACCCATAGCTTCCATGCAACTGATGCGCACTGAAACACGAAGCTTCTTGGACCATCAAATCATTAAAATCGCCACACCTTTCTTGCTACACTTCGAATCCATTAGAATTGCTAGATCATGTGGAACTGGACGACTTTCCGCATCTTTCCACTTCCGCTTGGTGATGAAATCTCAACGTGACAGTTGGGTCTTCCAACGTGGCGTTTCGCCGCCCTGGCAGGCTCACCGCGAGGAGGTGAGAACAGATGATGATGCTTGGCACTGATGGCGGCGAGGCCGTAATGAGCAGCGCCCGTTGCTCAACAGGTAGAGACGGTAGAGATTGACATCATACGAGTCGGCGATTGCTCAGCATTCCGATCATTCTGCATGCTGCAATGATGCCAGCCATACTACCCTCTGGTAAACTAACATAGCTATTGAAAATGGTGATTTATAGTGACATTTCCCATTAAACATGGTGATTTTCCATAGTTATGTTAGTTTACCAGAGGGTAGTTATTACAAATGTATGATTCTGTAGATCCACGAAAGATGATCGACAGGCTAGGCTGTAGGCATGGCTGCTCTTTTTTTTTCCACAAAAAAGTGGCACTGGGTACGGTGATACAACTGTTACAATTGTCTATGTTTGCCAATCCCTCTCGACTCAGTCCGATGGTTCCCGATGAGTCCGCCTGTGTTTTCTCTGCAAGGGTCGGTGCCAGGGTAAGTTAGCGATGAAACCCCAGAAATTTGAGAGCCAAAAACCAGGAGGGAACCCCTGTTTCAGGAGAACCGTACCCTTCTAAAAAAGCGCTGGGGTTGTCTCTGACATTCAAATTAGGCGGGTTAGGCTCCAATATATCAGCCATGCCGCAGTACATACTGCAGCATTTCCATGACAAAAAATCTCCTTAGCTCAAATGACATTGGACAATCACTTCCCTCAAATGCTAGGCTTCCATTGTGCAAAAAGATTGCTGTAGAACCCAAGCATTTGAAGGTCCCAAAGACTTTGACCACCAACGCCTCAACGCCTTGGTCCCCAGGACATCTATGCGTATATCAAACAGTCACCACGAGTCTCGGAGGCTATCCCCAGGGCCACATGCTCGACGTGCTCCGCACAGTGCATCACAGTGCCATGTAGTCGTACCATGATCGAAACTAGAATAGGAATGAAATGGAACGAGTAAGGTCGTCAGAACTTGGTGAAGCGGGATACTGCAAATAGCGGGAGGCTTAATTCATTAATGAATTTTCCCGAAGCTTAGTGCTCAATCCATATGTGGTTTGCGCAGTTCAAGGCCACACACAGAGACACACATTTCCGACGGTTAAAAAGAGAATCGATCCTGACCACGTTTTTTTATTATTATTAATGAATTTTTGATACAAAGTCATTCCGATGCTCGTTGATGAGCCGCAATCTTATCATATCTTATCAATCTTCAATGGATTCTCAATTTGTAAAGGACGACGACGCCATACAAAAGCTTGGTACTAGCTGAGAGCCCTTGTTTGGGATGCTGCGGATCCCAGTGGGGACTAGCTTCCCCATCAGGAGAAGGCACGCGAGATTTTCGACCGCCTGTGTCATCCCAAGCAGCGGCTATGACTGGGCAAAGATATGCAAAGATGTTTGACCAAAGAAAAGTTTTGAGTCATTTGAATATCACTCCTCACTGACTCACCTCTACATTTGGTTTCATTTGGTCATAGTATGTCATAGTCATTGTCCTCAAGTTTCTTGTTGAGAACTTGAACCTTTCGGTATGCGAAGGTTGGGCCGGGAACCTGGATTAAAAAGATATCCTTGATATCCTCAAGAGTCTCAACGATGGGTGTTCGAGTCAGATTCATTTGCTCAGGTATAAGAACGGCAAAGATGCCAGAATCAGGCCCGGTGTCCGCGGTGTATTCCCAAACTGAACTCACATGTTTTGACTCCTGACTATTAGTACGTATATATATATATATATACACATACACAATTATACACACATTATGGCCCACAATTTCTGTGTTGCCTGCTTCCAAGAGCGATCAATCTCAGCTGGAAACACAACATGAGAAAGTGAGCCTTATCCTCATGATGGGTAAAAGTCTTTGTCACGAGCAAAATCTGTGTCTGCTGTGCATGACCCAGTATTGGAAATACGGAAACTCCCAAACTTGTGGCTTCCGATCTACGCTTCGCACGACTTGCTGTAAAACATCACAAGCTCGAGGCGACGAGTCTATGCAGAATTGGGCCTCTTGGTGGAGCAAGCAAAGGAAGCTCAGATGTGACGACCTCAGAACAGGAAACGCTGAACTGTCTTTCTTTTTTTGGAGCTTTTTTGTCGGGCTCTTTGCTGTACACGTCTCCAAAACTTAAGTTCATTCCGATCATTCCGCACCCGTGCAAACACAATTCCATTGCACGGTCACTGCAGGTTTTGACTCGTTAGCTCTAGGCAGTTATTTCACGGCCGCAGACAATCTGTCCATCCGTATATTGGAATGGGGATTGAGGCCGCACTTGGAGAACACTCCCTCATACACAGTGAAAGTGCGCAGAGACTTTGAATTTGCCACATACTGTATTTATTGTTTTTGTTTTTAAAATCAATCTCTTTATCGGTGGATTTCCATGTTGGAACCATTTCAAAGTCGATTGCTGAGGTGTACCTTTGAGCCACGGCTACCGTTGGCAAGGCTGGGGTTGGAGCTGGGGTCGACCCCTGGAAGACCCCTGGGTTCTTTCGAGCACTTTTGGATGGGTAGTACATGGTAGTACCGTATGATTTATTTTCATGATTATCCAGTTATCCATCCCACTGGTAGTTTTCGCCCTTGCAGGTATCCTGACGGCTTTCAACCTCAAGAGTCCATCAACGAGCGCCTTTACAGGGACAGCTTCGACAGGCTTCGCCGCACATCGCAGGGCCACGGATTGAACATTGCCAAGTGACCTGCCAAGATCGTCCCGTCGTCCCGTCGTCGTACCGTCGTACCTGTCACCACTTGAAATCAGCTTTTTTCGTGAACACAGAAATCGAAGTTTCGACGCAGCCGTTCAGAGACATTTTTATTTAAGGCAAGGCTGACAAATTGGTGTAAGATTTTTCAAGCCCTCTGAACGAGTAGGCCCTGGCATCGTGCTACTGAAGTTTTCCAACTCGCACGATGCCAGGTGATGCGAAACAAAAGGGATGGATAACTTCTAGCAACTTATTGTGATGTTACAATAGGGGTATGCGAATCCCAATGTCCACCCAGATATTTGTCCATGACAGTTATTCATAGAAGCAGTAAAGAAGTGAAAGAAGCGTCATGCAGGGATTTATTCACATTGACTTCTCTCCACAAGGTTTTAAGCAGGACAGAAAACCTGTTAAGTGTTAGTTGATTGATGTTGATTGTCACTTGGAACCTCGTGGCGAAATACTCAGATCTTGATTTGGTACAGCATTTGTGCTCCGCTGGGGGCCACCTTAGCTATTTGTTGAGGCGCCGCCGACGAGAAGAAGCAAAGCAGAGCATGCCGGTTTGGGCTCTCGGCTTGGGACTGGCCGCTTGTGATATGGAGTCGATCTAATCTAAGTCACCCGAGTCTCTATTTGACGCAGTTTCAGATCTTTTTTGGATCAGCTTGACAATGATTTGATGCCAGTGTAGGATAACGTAGGCTAGCAACGCAGATTTGGTGACGCAGTTGAAATTACAATCCATTCATCGGGCTTCACTCTAGTAGCTCTTGGACGTTTTCCATGTTCAAGTCTCCCATCACAGGTCCCAGCGATGCAGAAGATTGGTGATAGTATGTGGGTATGTCTGAAAATGGGGTATACCCCCAATTATAGCCATTTAGTAGGGATAATGATCATTAACCATTGGGTGTAGGGGTACACTATTTTCAGACAAACCCATGTACAGATATGTACAGTAACTAGAGATGAATCCAGATGCGACCCTCACGACATTCTGATCCTGGTACTGATTCAATCGCGACATTCTGGTTGTATACTGAACAACGGTACTATGATACAGTCTAATCTATATGATTCTATACGTGTACGTAATATGTATACATACAGTATATATATATATTTACACACACATATATATATAATTACATATATAATATATATTATTATATATATTTATACATGATTCATGTGGGAGGCATAGATTCAAAGCTTCAGCTCTTCAACTGGGATCTGGTTTGGACATCGCCAGCATCAAGACATCACCAGCGGATCCGTTGACCTTTGAGGTCCCAACCTTTCGACCGAACATGTCCATCAATAGCACGCCTGGGAGCTCATGGGAGAGAAATATCGAGTGGCAGCATGTGGCAGCCTCCTGTTACTTCACATGTTTATATATTTAACCGCTGTTTCCTTAGAGTTTTAATGAGTCTAGTGCAATGAGCTAATGAGTCTAGCGAGTCTAATGAGTCAATAAGATTCAATAAGTCACTTGCTGTCTGCTATTCTCTGGCTGGTTTTCTACGGGCCTCGGACTTCAAATTTGCTTCCTGCAAAGACTCTGGTTCGCATTTTGCGATATACTTTGAATTGTGAACATGCTGATGCACTTTCACATCCAAATCCTGCTAGATCTGATGGATTTGTAGGAAGACAGTGCTCCATTTCCAGAGTAGTTATGCATATCTTTACACATGGTGGAAAGAGATATTGTAGTGTGATTGATAAATGATGAATATCCAGAGGATGAATACACAACAGGCTGATGCCTCTTCCTTCCATGGCTGCTCGAAGAAGAGGGTTGCACTATAGCATGTTGATTTGGTTTGAAGCAGTCTCGCAGATTAGGCTGTCAGGCAGCAAGTCATGTAGCGACTTTTAAAAAACCTCGCGTTTGATCGGCTCTTTCGCTATGATCCAAAAATAATACCATAAACCAAGCTTCATTTTCTGGATGGTCTTCACTCGAATCCCAAGACTTGAAGCTTGCATGGGATTTAGGGAACCCACTGCAGCGACACGATTTGACTGTTGGGTTTGTTCTAAAGGCCGTTGACTGTTGGGTTCCAGCCGGGGTTCCAGCCGGGTTGAATCAGTTCCGAATGAGGACTAGCCGCAGGAGCGAAGGTGCTGACCGTCAGACCTTTTTTGCTGCCATGAAATCGATAGAAGTCAGCCGGGGATGGTTCAGATGGTCCCTGAAACTTCTGCAACAACAAGGGGTTAGCTCCTGGCTTAGCTCGTGATCCTGATCAAAAATATCAAAACGGCCTTTTTGGTTTGCCTGAAATATCTGAAATAGTAAAAGAACAAAAAAAAGAAGAAAAGCACATCTAAAAGGCAGTCAATGGCAGTCATCCTATGGTACTCTTGAGCCAAAGGTAGTTGATGGTAGTTGGGTCCCAGATTCACCGTGCCATGGCTTTTCACCGTGCCAGGCGGAGTATCTCCACGTGACACCTTGGACTCCGAAGGCGTGCGCAGGGCTACGGAGAAGCCTAATCTGTGGGTGTTTGGCGAGCGCCTATGCTGGGACTGGCGGGTCAAAGGCCTTTCGGCCTTTGGTATTTTTGGGACAATGGATTTGATTTCAGTCGGTGTATCCTAAGGTAGCTCTTTGTGCTCATCATGCATACGAACTTGACATACTTGACTGCCTACGCTGGTCTTTATCTCCATCCATATCTTCCATAATTACATGCTAGATATCATAGTCATAGGCCCATAGGCACGGTGGAGATTTCGTCTTGTTTGGTCCTTGGCAGGTGGATTTGCTGGTACCGGCCTTGGTGCAGAGTTTCCATGGCTCATGGAGCAAGTGAGACTGACGTGCGCAGGAGGGTGAGACAGCGACCGAAATTTTAGAAACAGAGAACATCAGAGTACCATGCAGACTTTCGCCAAGTTTTTACTGCACTGCACCTGGCTTTATTATCTTATTGGAGATTTTTACGACACCCCCGGCATTTTTTGGGTCCCAAGCGCTGTGGATGTCAATTCCTGGCATCCAGGTGGTCTGATCAGCGATGGATCCATGAACCGCAAACAGAGCCCTTTGCATGGCACGGTCCCCAGTGATAGCCATGGGAATAGCCATAACGGTCGGCTACCAGGAACATGGTGGGATAAGGTGGGTATGTTGAAAAAGAAAAAGAACAACCTTTCTGAAGCGATATATTAGGGGATATCAAGAATTGTGGTGCTTAATGCTTCTTGTTCACTGAATTTACGCTCATCTGCGGGTAGAGAGCCCTCCTGATACTTTGGGCAGCTGGGATTGACCCGTTCACAGTTGGATTCTCTGGACTTGCTGCCATGGCATTGCTCTGCTCAGAACGTCTATACCGTGAACATGCAGACCGTAAGGCCAAGCATGTGCTGGGCTACATGGGCTACATGGGCTATGGATGGCTATGGATGGCTATGGATGGCTATGGATGGCTATGGATGGCTATGGATGGCTATGGATGGCTGGGCTGTGTGTTGCCAGTGCGACATGGGCAAATTGCCATAGGTCAAAAGCTATCCGATTGATCACTCTCTTCTTCCACACTCTCTCTTTGGAATGCCCAAAAAAAAGCCATACCTCATTGATATGGGCTGGGCACCTGTGTGTCCAGATTGGAGATGTTGATGTCGCAGACCCAATGGCACTTTTGGCAACATGCAGCAACTCCATGCCTTGAATTGTAGCTCAGATATGCTTAGATATGCTTAGATATGCTTAGATATGCTTAGATGAGTCGCCACAGGCTCGGCAAGCGCACAGGGAGGATGCCATGGCAGACTGGAGGCTCCTGTGTGGCCTATAGATCCTATAGGGCCTCCGGGTAACCTGCCACAGGTCCATGGAAGGATCCACTCTCATATCTTTATATATCTGCATGTATATCATGTATACAGTTGAGATATATTGAGACATTATGTATACGTACAAATGTCATGATATGGCATGATCCTCAGGGGTATGAGAGCATAGCCGAAATCCATCAAAATCCATTCTTCTGTGTTCCTCTTTGTCAAGTCGCACAGCCAATTACAACAATCTTGGTTCCCCTCAGCCCAAGCAGACTCAAGCCTAGTAACAGTGTGCAAACCTGTTCCACCAGGAAGCACACCTTCAAGCCCGACATTCGAAACAGTCAAGTCGCTACCTCAGGTTTTCACATGTGGCAGATCATGTTCCACCATGCGTGGCTTTAGTTTCATGTTCACCGAGAAGTGACAAGAGCTTCCCGCTTTTCTGATCTGGGTGTGCTGTTGAGGCTACTGGTCCTCAGATTGCTTCAAACTCAGCCTGGTGGACCACCGGTGGGCTAAAGAGGTCTCAGCCTGGTCACAAGTTTTTGCCATAAACTTCAGCCCGATGGTCGACAAGGAGGTACAACCAGTGGTACAGTATGATGACCAGCCGCACCATGCAGCACATGGTATGAATGGCATATCACATATGTGATCTACACATGGTATAAATTGTATACTGTAGTTAATATGTATTATGAAATATTATGAATCAGTTCAGTTTCGCATTCCTTTCAAGTCTCACAGATCTATACGGTCTATACCTTGACATCTTGAGATTCTTGAGACACTTCATCGCTTCATGTCCAAGGAAAGGACCGGCAACTTCTTCGAACAGCTCGAACGAAGCCGGGCCGCCTGAGAACATTTGCGATGACTTTGTCATTGCCACCGTATGTCACTGGTATGGGTGTCAATCAACGTTGAACATATTGAGCATTCACAATCCGTGCAGCTTTCAGATTGATTTCTTTTCCTCTGCAGATGACAACCTGACTCAACCTGCTTGCTAACAGAGTGCCAGCATCGAAGTTCAGGGCGACCTGTGTTTTCCCAACTGACAACATCGCTACATGGGGCTATATATTATAATATATATATAGTTTGATCAAGCTTCTACTGCTTTCTACGTGGCTTATATTCTGTATGCTGCTATGAGTGAAATCCTTGTGGCATTTTTTCCCATCGTTCCTGGCAAAAGCGAGGCACTTAGGTAGTTTTAAGTCTATACGCTGCCGGCTGAGGTCGTGCAGAAGACACTGTGCTGTCCTCAGCGGCTCGAAACATCCCAGGTACACATTTTGCTCATCCCTCGGCCAGGGATTGTTCACATCCCCACATGGATTAGGACATTTTAGGGTGGGTAGCGGGCCCCTCTTGTCAGGATGGCTACATGATGCCTGGTGGCCGGCCCTTGGTGCCACTCCGAACTATGACCCATCCAGTTGGGGGCCTCACAGCAAAATGATTTAACTTTGGATAGTGGTATTGGGGTTCTCAAGCAGACTTTTGTATTCTCAAAGATCAAACCAACAAACAATTGGTCCGGAAGTCACAATGTCTTAAGTATTGCAAGATGTGACTTGGAACATGAGTAAGGCAGTTCCATCTTTTGAGTTGAATGATGATAAGTTAAGTTGGAGGTTTGTTCCGAAAAGATGGTGAGAAAATTGAAAAACGGGCCATGTTGGGCTTCTATGCCTTGCTGCTCCGAGCATGGCAATGGGAACTTCCTGCCTTTGTCCACAAAAGATGAAACCTGACCACATCCGAATCATTTAGAGGTGAATCTGCACATTCTTTTTGTTTTGGTACAAAAAGATGGCGAGAAAAACCACCCGCGAGTCGTGCATCGAAATCTTTGGGGTCACGTGGGACTGACACAAGAAGCGCACAGCTGAGGCATTCGAGCAAGAGCTTTCGGATGAAGAAGATGCAAAGCAGGACTCAAAATGACTCAAACACTGCCCCAAAATCAAGGGGCTTGGCACTCAAGAGGTGCCAATTTCTGTCTCCCTGGCTTCTCACAACATTTTAAACTCCTAACTTGTACTATCTTGTACTCATACCATGGATTTCCACTTCGGGCGCCATGAATTTCAATCTGCAGGATCCAGCAGAAATGGCTGATGCTGCGGCTGATGAAGGGGCAGCGCCTGACAGCCCTGCGGCGCCAGAGATGTCCAGTATTGAGGCACAGATTCGCTGTGGCGAGGGGCGGCCCAGACAACCAGACAACACACCGAAATGGGATGCAAGATGCAAATGAGCATTCAACCCAGTGTTTGAGATTGCATTCCAGGATGTCATCGAATTTGATCTTCAATTGACCCCAAACGGACTAAACACACCTACTCTTCTTGTTGATATTGGGATTCAATCCCCCCAAACCAAAGTTTCTGATGTTTCTTCGGTCAGAATAGAATTTTAAGTCACGAGATCCTAGCCCCCAAACATAGACAGATGAAGACACTGCATTCAAAAAATAAGGACATCAGAAGCTCTAGGACTCTAGGACTGGACCTGTGCCACATTAAGCGATTCCATTGTGCCCTTCCTCTGGTACGCTGCGGTACGCTTCAAAGTTAACTGTTGTATAGAATGTAAAGGTTCTTTTGAAATTTAGCAAGCCAATGTTGTGTGTGGGGAGCCCCAAATCCAAAATCTCCAAATCTATGTCGCTATAGCTCGAATCTCCAGGTGGGGAGCCCTTTCGAGGTGCTGCTTTGGGCAGTTTGCAAGGTATCTAGATTCCCAGAGCGACCGTAAGGATAGCATTGCAAGATCTGAAGAATTCTGCCAGTTGAGTACACCCCGAGAAACCACTCGAACCATCTTGAACCATTGAATCATTGAACCATGAACAGCCCGAAGAGTTACATCCAGATTGCTGAAAAGTTTCTGCTACTTGCCGCAGCTGGAACAGTGCCAGGCCTCCAGCTACAAGTTGAATCCAGCCACTGTGGAGGCCGCCAAGTCCTAGCGGCATAGCGGGACTTAGCAAGTTAGCAGCTTGGCAATGGAGAATATGACATAGCAACTTCATGTGACTTACATGCGACCTAAACAGCACATGACATCTTGTTTATAAGAGAACACCTCTCAAGTCCTTCCCTGAATTTGCTGGGAAACTTGCCTGTCCCAGTCCCAAAACTCACTCTGATGGCGCAAAGAGCATCGAGTTTTGTTCCACCAATCTTGAAGTTTGACTCCTTCCGGACCGGGGTTGTGTTGCTATATGATCTATGTGTTGCCCATCAGGTTGACAATCCTTCAGTCAAACTCGCCAAACCAGCCGACCTAGTTGATCCAATTGCCAATATTGCCAGGTTGCCGAAGCTGAGTGCCTTGGCTAGACCCAAAATTCCGGAGGTGGTTTCCAGCGCTTCGCTAAACAAGTAAATGAACGAATAAATAAACACACACATATATAAATATATATACATATACAATATATAATATATATACAATATATGCATGAGACTCGGATTTTGGGGCACACCTCCGCTCCAGTTTGGCTTGGAGAAAGAATCTTAACTGCATCATGCTGCAACTGCTGAGGTGATTGCTGATTCAAAACATGTTTCGCGGATCAGAATTCTTTTGGCTCAAGACTCAAGTCAAGCTGCCACGGACTGCTTTTTCCATTGATGGACGACGATCCGTCGACTAGTGAGCCAATTGCAGATGGACAATTCAATTTAGTACTTTGCGTCGTAAGTTCAGCAGTGGCTGGCATTGGAATCGGACTTTTTGGCTGCCTATTGTCTGCAGCTGATCACATGAAGCGAAGGAATTCTGGAGTGCACACCAGTATAGGCCGCACGTTCCAAATATGCGGCATTTGTGGTTCCATCGTCTTCGGTCTGGCTTCCTTGGTGGGTTTAATCTTCGGCTCGGTGAGTCTTGCCACAGTGGTGCGAGCTGGCAGCACCTTGCCCTCGAATGCAATTTTTAGCCAACTCCTTGGATTGCGGCCGTTGGTCAGAGATGATGTGCTGGGAACTCTGGTCACCATCTCAGGAATTGTAAGTTTCACCATCTTCCAGGGCTGGGCCTTTTATCAGCACAGTCGTGAGGAGTATTTGCTCCGAATCTCCAGTCCTGGGTCCCTCATTTGGCTCTGTTTCCTGGTCATTTCCCAGGCAGTCTCAGTTGGTTTCTGGGTCGTGTGATTTGGCACATTTTGCGATTGGGCAATTTGGGCTGATAAATCCATGGATCTACGATGATTGCTTGAAACAAAATACCATCATCAACCTGGCTCCGAGCTTGAAACATGGGTATACGGAGAGCAAATCATGCGCTCCAAGCTTTCGATGCTCAATACATATTAATTTTTAATAAATCATATGAGTACATGTATGCCAATATGATCCAATATGTACGTTGAACATCTCCAAGACCGGTTCCTTTGGTTCGTTGATTCATACCTTTCCGGATTCTCCAGGTTGGCTTTGCTTGCGCAGCTGCCCGCCACGGGACCGTTCCGAAGATGCGGCTTCGGCACGGCGACGGGCGGTGGCCACCACCATGATCTGCTCCTGCTCATCGGCCTTTATGGACCTGGCAGCGAAGGGATGGTCCTCATTCAAAGTGCACGGTGACTGGGAAACAACGTTGGACAAAAGGACGTTTTAAGATTTTTAAAAGCCCCAAAAACATCCAAAAACAGAGTCATCTTTTGTCCCACTTGCTTTGGAGGGTGTTTTCATTCTCACTTTTTGGGTCAACAATTTCAATGATGTTGACAGTCTTTTTGGGTTTCAGAGAAATGTGACAGTCCCACGGAGGACAATCATTGTTTTCAGAAACGGCAGTTCCCCCTGTTAAACAGAAATGTTCCTTCTGAATATTCCATCCCAAGGTGACCTTGGAAACCTGGGAGGCATGAGCCTTGGCTTTTCATCACCAGTCTTTTGGGTCGCACTATCGCTGAACGTGATCTTCCTGGTGATCTTGCGATGGGGCACTATTTATGGCTGCCGCAAATGCGATGTCTTGATTTTTGTTCCTTTGAATACCACTGCCAATATCATTATAAGTGTAGCCAGCGGGATGATCTGCCTGGCAGAGTACACATCTGTGCCTCGTTTGAGATGGTTTCCCAATGTTTCCATTTCAACATTTCTTCCAGTCAGCATTTCCAGTGTTTGGGGAAAGGAATGGAAAGGAAACACATGTCATGCCTCGCCTTGAGGATCTTGAGGGAGATGCCTATCTCACCCACTCGGCATGCCGCCAATGTGGTCTTTCCGGATATTGAGAACACCGGAACCCGAACAACTTACAAACAGGGATATATTATAATTACTCATTATATATGTATATATATATATTATATATATACGTATATATGTTATATAGGACAATGATATAGGTTATAGATTATAGGCGTTTTTTTTTGACCTGCACCCAACAGTTGATCACCAGTCGTGAGGTGAAGTCATGGCCTGGTCTGGTCGCCGCAGGGCTCTCAATGCTCACTGGCATTTTCATGTTAGTCACCGGTCCAGCGGACACCGGTTCAGTGGGCTCCCAGGCCAGCTTCAGCGATGGCACGGAAACAAAAAGCCGTGATGCAACGCCAATGTCTAGTCAAGGAGACTTGGGCGAAATGTTTCAACGGAGTTAGTCATGTTTCTTCATCTTAGTTCATGTTTCCGGATATCTGTATGTGTTTGCGCCTGTTTGCGCTGTGTAAGTGTAGATGTTCAACCCCAGATGGCGTTACTGTAAAATAGGTATGTAGTATGTGTAGTGATGTGGGGACAAGTTCAGGATGGTTATTTCAGTATATTTCAATCATTCTAACAACGCCAGGAGAAGCTGAACACTCCGAGGAGTCATCTTGCACAGATCCGGTCACGCCGGCCAAATTGCGCACCTCAGCATCCTCGGCACACAGCTTTGTATATTTAAACCGCATCCACCGTCGTGCAGCCCGCACTCGCAGTGCCATCGTGGCAACGCATGGACGGGGAGACAGGACACCGGAAAGGAGCCCTGTCACTGATGTTTGACCGCGGTCATCAGAAAAGGGGCACTGCGGCAATGGTGGTGGTTTTAGTGGGAAGATGTGGGAAGTGAATTTCGTCAACGAAACATCTCAGACTCGCAACCAAGCATGCTGCGGGTTTCTTTGGGGTTTGATTTCTCTAGTCCTTGACTCCTTGGTTTGATTTTGTTCTAACGATTTCTGTGGGGTTTCTCAATGTTTCTCACAATTTCCAGAACCCATTGCTCAAATGGATAACTTGTAACCGGTGTAAGCTGTGTCACCAGTGCCTTGGCGGAATTCACTGAGGCAGGGAGTGCTGGACATCACACATGTGGCGGTGCCAGCCCGGAGCTGAACGTTGCACATGAGCCGACGGCACGTGGTACTTTGAATGTCATTAGATGTCATTAGATGTCATTAGATGTCATTAGATGTCATTAGTCATTAGTCACTATCTACAGATCTTTCTATATTCATCTATATTCTATACCACTTAGAGCAATACAAATAGATGTTTCAACTTGCAACGTTTTCGGGCATGAGATAAGTGACTACTTGACAGATTACTATTTGACACTGTCTCATTGAGTGCTCGTCACATCCTGTGCAGTATGTTGGTGCTTCAAGGTACTGTACAGGTGAGTACATATGGTTGCGGAGTAGTTCACACGGTTGCCGTCCATGAAGGGCAGTGAGTATGCATCGATTCGCAGTTTTTTGATGGCGCCCATGCGCTCGGGTCTAGACGAATTTTTCACGTTTTGCATTTGGGAAGTTGTTTCATTAGTCCGCATCAGCGGCATGAATGATATGAATGAATGCATTTGCACTCATAGCAGAAAAAGGAATGGACAGATGGTGAAGAATGCAAGAGGGCATCACTTGATATCACTTGCCCTCTCCAACGTCCAGTGACTTTATCCCCACTTTGTAAACCTTTTCAACGCGTCCGAAAGTCTACGAAAGCCCCGAAAACAGTTCGCGCCCGTAACACAGCTACCAGTGCATTTGGAGCTCTGAGGCCCTGGCCTCTGGAGATCAAACGAAGGCAGCTTCAACTGTGAGCCACGGCACCAGATGCACCAGATGCACCGATCCAGAGAATTTTTTTTTCGATTTTTGATCAGGCAAAATTCAGGGATCCCGTGGTTCGCATCGATTCGCATCGGTTCGAAAATAACTTTATGAACCGCGAAGCGGTTCGTTCCGGTTCGGTTCCGTTGCGGTTCGTGTGGAGACCGGTTCATGGATTCATTCGGTTCCATTCGGTTCGGTTCTTGTCTGGAATTGACTGCATTATTACCTTTTATAAAGGAAATTAATGCGGTAATGTTAGTAGCAGCATTAGAAATATATGCCTTGGCGTTCGAAACTGCTTAGACGGGGGTTACGGAAAATGAGTATAGCCGAACAGCTTTGGCCTCGAAATTCTCTGTTGTAATGGACTGATCTAGCAAATACCGTAATTCCCCATAGCCACTTAGCATTATACTAAACGGTACGATCCCGTAACCCCCCTAGAAGCACTTTCGGGGGCAAACATAGCTTTCCGGGGGTTACGGAAAATGAGTACAGCGGAACAGCTTTAGCTTCGAAATTCTCTGTTCGAATAGAAAGATTAATTGGCAAATTTAGTGAATCCCCATAATACCCATGTCGTATAATTACTCGACTCAACTGTACGATCCCGTAACCCCCCAAGAAGCACTTTCGGGGGCAAACATAGCTTTCCGGGGGTTACGGAAAATGAGTACAGCGGAACAGCTTTAGCTTCGAAATTCTCTGTTCGAATAGAAAGATTTGGCAAATCTAGTGAATCCCCATACCCATGTCGTATACTCAACTGTACGATCCCGTAACCCCCCTAGAAGCACTTTCGGGGGCAAACATAGCTTTCCGGGGGTTACGGAAAATCAGTACAGCCCAACAGTTTAGGCTTCGAAATTCTCTGTTTGAATAGAAATTTTGGCAAATTTAGTGAATCCCCATACCCATGTCGTATACTCAACTGTACGATCCCGTAACCCCCCTAGAAGCACTTTCGGGGGCAAACATAGCTTTCCGGGGGTTACGGAAAATCAGTACAGCCGAACAGTTTAGGCTTCGAAATTCTCTGTTTGAATAGAAAGATTTGGCAAATTTAGTGAATCCCCATACCCATGTCGTATACTCAACTGTACGATCCCGTAACCCCCCAAGAAGCACTTTCGGGGGCAAACATAGCTTTCCGGGGGTTACGGAAAATCAGTACAGCCGAACAGTTTAGGCTTCGAAATTCTCTGTTTGAATAGAAAGATTTGGCAAATTGAGTGAACCCCCATACCCATGTCGTATACTCACAACTGTACGATCCCGTAACCCCCCTAGAAGCACTTTCGGGGGCAAACATAGTTTCCCGGGGTTACGGAAAATCAGTACAGCCCAACAGTTTAGGCTTCGAAATTCTCTGTTTGAATAGAAAGATTTGGCAAATTGAGTGAATCCCCATACCCATGTCGTATACTCAACTGTACGATCCCGTAACCCCCCTAGAAGCACTTTCGGGGGCAAACATAGCTTTCCGGGAGTTACGGAAAAATCAGTACAGCCGAACAGTTTAGACTTCGAAATTCTCTGTTTGATTAGAAAGATTTGGCAAATTTAGTGAATCTCCATACCCATTTGTATACTCAACTGTACGATCCCGTAACCCCCCAAGAAGCACTTTCGGGGGCAAACATAGCTTTCCGGGGGTTACGGAAAATCAGTATATAGCCGAACAGTTTAGGCTTCGAAATTCTCTGTTTGAATAGAAAGATTTGGCAAATTTAGTGAATCCCCATACCCATGTCGTATACTCAACTGTACGATCCCGTAACCCCCCAAGAAGCACTTTCGGGGGCAAACATAGCTTTCCGGGGGTTACGGAAAATCAGTACAGCCGAACAGTTTAGGCTTCGAAATTCTTTGTTTGAATAGAAAGATTTGGCAAATTTAGTGAATCCCCATACTTTCGGGGGCAAACATAGCTTTCCGGGGGTTACGGAAAATCAGTACAGCCGAACAGTTTAGGCTTCGAAATTCTCTGTTTGGATAGAAAGATTTGGCAAATTTAGTGCATCCCCATACCCATGTCGTATACTCAACTGTACGATCCCGTAACCCCCCAAGAAGCACTTTCGGGTCCAAACATAGCTTTCCGGGGGTTACGGAAAATCAGTACAGCCGAACAGTTTAGGCTTCGAAATTCTCTGTTTGAATAGAAAGATTTGGCAAATTTAGTGAATCCCCATACCCATGTCGTATACTCAACTGTACGATCCCGTAACCCCCCTATATAATAGAAGCACTTTCGGGGGCAAACACAGCTTTCCGGGGGTTATGAAAAATCAGTACAGCCGAACAGTTTAGGCTTCGAAATTCTCTGTTTGAATAGAAAGATTTAGCAAATTTAGTGAATCCCCATGCCCATGTCGCATACAACTGTACGATCCCGTAACCCCCCAAGAAGCACTTTCGGGGGCAAACATAGCTTTCCGGGGGTTACGGAAAATCAGTGCAGCCGAACAGTTTAGGCTTCGAAATTCTCTGTTTGAATAGAAAGATTTGGCAAATTTAGTGAATCCCCATACCCATGTCGTATACTCAACTGTACGATCCCGTAACCCCCCAAGAAGCACTTTCGGGGCCAAACATAGCTTTCCGGGGGTTACGGAAAATCAGTACAGCCGAACAGTTTAGGCTTCGAAATTCTCTGTTTGAATAGAAAGATTTGGCAAATTTAGTGAATCCCCATACCCATGTCGTATACTCAACTGTACGATCCCGTAACCCCCCAAGAAGCACTTCGGGGCAAACATAGTCTCCGGAGGTTCGGGATCGTACAGTTGATATACGGCATGGGTCTGGGGATTCACTAATTTGCAAATTTGCGAAGCCTAAACTGTTCGCTGTACTGATCTTCCGTAACCCCCGGAAAGCATGTTTCCCCCGACGCTTCTTTGGGGGGTTACGGACGTACAGTTGAGTAACACATGGGTATCCTAAATTTGCCAAATCTTTCTATTCAAACAGCGAAGCCTAACTGTTCGGCTGTACTGATTTTCCGTAACCCCCGGAAAGCTATGTTTGGCCCCGAAAGTGCTTCTTGGGGGGTTACGGGATCGTACAGTTAGTATACGACATGGTATGGGGATTCACTAAATTTGCCAATCTTTCTATTCAAACAGAGAATTTCGAAGCCTAAACTGTTCGGCTGTACTGATTTTCCGTAACCCCCGGAAAGCTATGTTTGGCCCCGAAAGTGCTTCTTGGGGGGTTACGGGATCGTACAGTTGAGTATACGACATGGGTATGGGGATTCACTAAATTTGCCAAAATTTCTATTCAAACAGAGAATTTCGAAGCCTAAACTGTTCGGCTGTACTGATTTTCCGTAACCCCCGGAAAGCTATGTTTGCCCCCGAAAGTGCTTCTTGGGGGGTTACGGGATCGTACAGTTGAGTATACGACATGGGTATGGGGATTCACTAAATTTGCCAAATCTTTCTATTCAAACAGAGAATTTCGAAGCCTAATCTGTTCGGCTGTACTGATTTTCCGTAACCCCCGGAAAGCTATGTTTGGCCCCGAAAGTGCTTCTTGGGGGGTTACGGGATCGTACAGTTGAGTATACGACATGGGTATGGGGATTCACTAAATTTGCCAAATCTTTCTATTCAAACAGAGAATTTCGAAGCCTAAACTGTTCGGCTGTACTGATTTTCCGTAACCCCCGGAAAGCTATGTTTGCCCCCGAAAGTGCTTCTAGGGGGGTTACGGGATCGTACAGTTGAGTATACGACATGGGTATGGGGACACTAAATTTGCCAAATCTTTCTATTCAAACAGAGAATTTCGAAGCCTAAACTGTTCGGCTGTACTGATTTTCCGTAACCCCCGGAAAGCTATGTTTGGCCCCGAAAGTGCTTCTAGGGGGGTTACGGGATCGTACAGTTGAGTATACGACATGGGTATGGGGATTCACTAAATTTGCCAAATCTTTCTATTCAAACAGAGAATTTCGAAGCCTAAACTGTTCGGCTGTACTGATTTTCCGTAACCCCCGGAAAGCTATGTTTGGCCCCGAAAGTGCTTCTTGGGGGGTTACGGGATCGTACAGTTGAGTATACGACATGGGCATGGGGATTGACTAAATTTGCCAAATCTTTCTATTCAAACAGAGAATTTCGAAGCCTAAACTGTTCAGCCGTACTGATTTTCCGTAACCCCCGGAAATCTATGTTTGCCCCCGAAAGTGCTTCTTGGGGGGTTACGGGATCGTACAGTTGAGTATACGACATGGGTATGGGGATTCACTAAATTTTCCAATTTTTTCTATTCAAACAGAGAATTTCGAAGCCTAAACTGTTCAGCCGTACTGATTTTCCGTAACCCCCGGAAAGCTATGTTTGGCTCCGAAAGTGTTCTAGGGGGGTTACGGGATCGTACAGTTGAGTATACGACATGATACGACATGGGTATGGGGATTCACTAAATTTGCCAAATTTTTCTATTCAAACAGAGAATTTCGAAGCCTAAACGGTTCGGCTGTACTGATTTTCCGTAACCCCCGGAAAGCTATGTTTGGCCCCGAAAGTGCTTCTAGGGGGGTTACGGGATCGTACAGTTGAGTATACGACATGGGTATGGGGATTCACTAAATTTGCCAAATCTTTCTATTCAAACAGAGAATTTCGAAGCCTAAACGGTTCGGCTGTACTGATTTTCCGTAACCCCCGGAAAGCTATGTTTGCCCCCGAAAGTGCTTATTGGGGGGTTACGGGATCGTACAGTTGAGTATACGGCATGGGTATGGTGATTCACTAAATTTGCCAAATCTTTCTATTCAAACAGAGAATTTCGAAGCCTAAACTGTTCGGCTGTACTAATTTTCCGTAACCCCCGGAAAGCTATGTTTGCCCCCGAGCTTCTTGGGGGGTTACGGGATCGTACAGTTGAGTATACGACATGGGTATGGGGATTCACTAAATTTGCCAAATCTTTCTATTCAAACAGAGAATTTCGAAGCCTAAACGGTTCGGCTGTACTGATTTGCCGTAACCCCCGGAAAGCTATGATTGCCCCCGAAAGTGATTCTAGGGGGGTTACGGGATCGTACAGTTGAGTATACGACATGGGTATGGGGATTCACTAAATTTGCCAAATCTTTCTATTCAAACAGAGAATTTCGAAGCCTAAACTGTTCGGCTGTACTGATTTTCCGTAACCCCCGGAAAGCTATGTTTGGCCCCGAAAGTGCTTCTTGGGGGGTTACGGGATCGTATTGTTGAATATACTACATGGGTCTATAGGGGATTACAGTATTTCCGGAATCTTTTCATTACAAGGAAGAATTTCGAGGCGAAAACTGTTCGGCTGTGCTAATTTTCCGTAACCCCCGGAAAGCCATGTTTGGCCCGGAAAGTGCTTCTTGGGGGGTTACGGGTTCGTGACTCGAGAAAAAAGATGTCTGAGACCGAAACGCTTGTTGAAGGGTGGCAAGGTATAAGAAATATATAGATAAATAATCATTCTTGCACTATTTATTTTTCACATCAAATTAAAATATAACTATGATTTTCGGTTCGGTTCCGATAGATTTGCGGTTCGGTTCCTGCGGTTTGTTTTCATTTACCGGTTCCATGACCCCGCGGTTCGTTCCGGTTCGTGTTTGTCGATTCGTGTCGGTTCGTGGGCACACTGTCATAAGAAGAACCTCCACATTATCATAACAACTTTGCATATTGATGAATTAATGGCACTTTTGGTAGTTAATTTGAATCCCCCAAAAAAACATTCTTACAATGGGAATGTTGATTTCCAACTGGGTTCATCACCAATGATATTATCAGCCATAGTGTTTCTTGTTGGTGTGATTGGGAGTAGTGATTTTAATTAACAATGGGGATGTCATTAGTCAATCTAAAAGTTGGATCGCTTTGCGCGTTTGTAATGAATGCTAAATAGTTGCAGGACAAGCTTCAGGTTTCACAGTTCCAGTTTCATTTGGTTGTGTGTGTTTTTTGAAACTGAACCTCGCATTCATGGCCTGAAATACACTGAATCAAACTAAATTATAGAAAGTAGACATGTCAGAGGTTTGCTTTGATTGCGCACTACTACCTACTGTAGTATGTAGTACCTATAGTACCAGTATTTTCTTCGGTCTTTTCCGGTGTCGGACAGATCTCCATCGGTGCCAGGCAGGGGGTTTAGCCAACGAACCAAAGAGCTGGTCAAAGAGCTGGCAGAAGAACTCGGGGCCCGGGCACTTGGGAAACCTGGTGCTGGGATCGTGGTGACCCAAATCGGCAGGACTTCACCATAGACCAGCAGTGGATAACCATAGAACACCAACCCGAAACCCAACTGTGATTGGTCACAAGTCTTGTTACTCAAGTTTATCCCTTAGGCACAACTTTGACCATGTTTGGTTGTGTTGCTCCTGTGCCCCCAAGGATTTGTTGCTTTCTTTATTTAGATCATGTGGTAAAGCCGGTAAAGCCAATAGAACAACCTTCCCATTGGGTATGTATCTGGTAAAGCACAGATATTTAACGGAAAAGTCCTTGGGGATGGTTCTTATTTCATAGTCCCACAATTAAATTCTCCAACTATCCTTTCGATACCATAATTGTCCATAATGAATTTTGATACAATAATGATTATCCTATAAATTGTCAGAGAATTGTAGAGAATTGTCAGATTGAGGTTTAATGACAAGCCAATAATATTCCCATAAGTATCCCATCAGTATTCCCAAAAGTATCCTACAATATAATGTGGCCCCCCCAGTTAAAGAATTGTTTTATAAACCCCATGAATACTATAGTTATTCAATGTTATTTGCGAATCATAAACGATTGTGAAATTGGAGTTATGAACCAACTGAACGCTATCGTTTGGGGGGGCCCACATTGTATAGATCATTATAGATCATTATATATCCATATCATATATCCATATATTACATATCCCATTATCTCCCAATAGTAGTAGATACCGTTAGCCTTAGCTATAGATCTTATCTCCCACAAGTATCCTATGTGTTTCTGGGTTAACCACATGGTTTTGGATTTAGCCATCGGCTTGGGTATCGGCCAACGACCAGCCAGGAGTCCTGCCCAAGATGGGCTGACCGCTGAGTGAACTTTTAGCGACCTGCAACGACCAATGGAAGAGCATATATTTTTTCACCGGATGTGTATGATTAGATTAATGGTCAAAGATATGGATAGATAATGGTATGTGTATATATAATATGTGATATATATATATATGTTATATATATATATATGTGATATATATATATATATGTTACATATATATATATATATGATATATATATATATATGTTACATATATATATATGATATATATATATATATATATGTTACATATATATATATATATGATATATATATATATACGTGTTATATATATATGTTATATATATATATATATGTTATGTATATATGTGTACATTAAGATTGTGGATTCTTTTCCATGGATATATTAGATTGATTATAGATACTTGAAATTTCTTTTAAGAACATGGAAGGCGACTCACATGGTCATTACATTAATATGAGATCCTCGGCATCAAGAACTCATTGAAGCAAGAAGCCACAGACAGTGTGTCACGACTTCTTTGGCCGTCAAAGAAGCAGGTGCTGCAGCTTTGAATTGAATGCGTTGACCAATGGTGTTGTGAAAACGAGCCGCATCCCAGCCTGCCAAGTTTGGATGTGGGATTGAATGAAATCTGTTGGGGTGATTCCTGAGAACATTCTCAAAATTTATGATGCCTGGTAGGCAAATGCAAAAGGAGTGCAAGCTTCGTACAGAAACACTCATGGATGTAAAGAACTTGTTTTGCTTGTTACAGTCCTGACTCATCTGGCTGTACCTAGAGGCCCTTTCATTTGATCCTGGGATGTGCTTCTTAGATTCGCTCAGTCCCATCTCCCAAAACGCAGCCCGAGTCAGCCAAGTCAGCCGGAGATCCACGGTGCGTCGCAGCCATGGGAAAGAAGACAACCACCAAGAAGGGCGCAAGCACCAAGGAACGCCTGGTAGGGGAGCGCAAGCACCAAATGGGGGTTTCCATAAATGAGGGATCCCCAAAATGAATGAGTTATAATGGAAAATCCTAGTGAAATTGATGATTCAGGGGTACCCCCATTTTAGGAAACCTCCACAAATAAGATGAAACAGTGAAGCTGAGGCAGGAAGACTCTCAGACTTTTGGACATTGCCATGTTTAGGGCCGGGAGCCAAGCATGGTGCAAGATGCTACGTATGAATACAATGTTGTAAGTTCTGCCCGAATGGATGAATCTCTTGGTATGGTTATTCTTGTGGCTTTGGGATCGTATGGGAACATATTAATAACCACTATATAATAATTGGACCCATCAGATGCCATCCATTATTAAATTGGTATACGCATCATTGCTATCCTCATTATAAAATATTCCCATTGTTATCCCATTTGTATTATCCCAGTAGCACAATCCCATGATTATCCTTTTATCCTATCCTCTTATCATTGTTATCCTCATTATATATATATACATATAGTTAGAAGTATGTGTGTATATATATATATATATATGTATATATATTATACATATAAGACGGAGGGTCCCTTTCATCATTGTATAGCTAATGTAGCCGTTATATATCTCTCGGTACACATGTTTTTTTTCATCACGACCTTGACCAAAGTGACCTCACTGGACTCATGCTTGGAATCATCCCTAAATGATCTTATTTCAGGTTATTTCTGGTCAGTTAATTACAACTTACCTAGATAATGTGATATAATGAGGATCATCTGATTTATACTGATTTATAATTTACCTAGTTGACCTTAGGTATGATGAATGATTGTCCCTTCATGATCCAATGATATAATTTACCTAGTTGACCTTGTCAGGAGCCAACCACTCGTGATTGCACCGTCCACTTGCTGCTCGGTGAAAAAAAACGGACATGGCCACGCCGCCAACATCTATAATGTGTACATTAATGTAGAAAGATTAATATCGATTATAGAGATACAATATATACTGGTTGGTGGTTTGGAGCATGGCTTGTATGACTTTCCATATATTGGGAATAATGATCCCAACTGTTTTTCATATTTTTCAGAGGGGTTGAAACCACCAACCAGTATATATATATATATATTTAAAAATATTTAGATCCAAATAGGAAGAGATGATGGAATTAGACACTATAGTTATAAACTCTTCTACAGAAGCTAGAATTTTTGAACATATAGATATCTACATGCATAATAGAATTGTTGAACCCAAGGAACAAAAATCACAGGATATGTTTCCCCCCCAAAAAAACATAAATATCGGATATATTCTCAGAGGACAGATGGGGATATGTCCCCCTGCTGGAAGGCCAAGTAAACCCGTGACCCATTTGGCTTTGGGATGCAATGGAACCAATAAGGAACTCCTAACATAATCATAAAATATCATAATAGTTATCACATGTTATCACGAATAAATGGACCTGAATAGGTTAATTCACTCATGGACCTGACGGACCTGAATAGTTTTTCATTCTGCATCTGTTTTTGTTCCCCATTTGCATCAATCTCTTTTGAATATCTGAATTTGACCCATGGTGTAAGTTTCGGATCAATAAACCACCCCTGACAGATTGACAGGTGAATCCTCCAATAATCCTACTGAATAATCCCCTTGGATGGCGAAAATCCACCTCTGGTGTGTTGCTTAGTGGTTAATATATGGTAAACCATGGTTAATATGGTAAAATGACCAGGTGTTTCTCTGACTTGCCTCGTATTTTTTTCCTGCAGGCACAAACACATGCAGAAGATCTCCTTCAAGAAGCGTGCGCCTCGTGCGGTGCGCGTCGTCACTCGGCCGATGGTCCATTAGTACCCCGATGTCTTGACCCATATCCTTGGGATTACGATGTGAATTTGTGGAATGCAACCTGCTAATCCTCCAGCACCCCCAACCTCCCATAACCCCCCCCCTGACCCCCAAAAAACCTCGAAAGCCACAGGTGGTTCCAAAGCCGAGCCTCTGAGGTGAGGCAGTTCGCAGCCAAAGTCATGATGACTTCCGATGTGCGCATCGACACCTGGCGGCTTGGGAGCTGGATGGTACAACTCGAGGTAAGGTCACCACGTGGATCATCCCACAATTCTTGCTTAGTGATGTGCCAAAGGATGTCTCATTCTACCCATCATGGTTGGTTCATCTCGTAATGAGTCATATGTTACAAACCTGGCCACGACTCGGATCCATCTCGGGGGTATCCCAAATTGTAGGACGGTTTCTGGGCAATTCGTCCATCAATGATGGAAAAAATCCAGGCATGTTTAATTTACCAGAGATCATTGGATTGGTTTAAGGGAAAATCTTAACCGGAAACCATCGATTTTCCCATGAAATATGGGACTTTCCTGTGAATTGACCCTGGAACACCAATCCAGTGACAGAGAGTAAATCACTGGCACCAGAATTCACCAGATCATCTGGTTGGTGGTTGAAAGTTTCAAACATGAATTTTACTTTCCACAACATATGGGATGTCCTCCTTCCCATTGACGAACTCATATTTTTCAAGATGGTTTTTGCACCACCAACCAGATCAGTCTCCGGTCGTTATGCCTTACCGAGGACACCAAGCTCAACAAGTTCCTCTGGAGCAACGGCGTGCGCAATGTGCCGCGACGCGTGCGCGTGCGCTTGTCTCGCAAGCGCAACGAGGATGAGGATGCGAAGGACGGGAGATGATAAGGTGATTCATGGTGGATCACTGGTAACCCCCAAAAAGGATCAAAAAGGTAGATAATTAGCAATTTATGATATATATATAGATCTTTTTGTAGTATCTTAGTCGGATTTGATGGTTACGTTTTGCTATAGCTTTTTGGGGGTGCTGTAGACCAGATGTTTTGGAGATGTTTTGACCCATAGCCAGGTCCCTTTGGAGAACAGTAGGGGACCTGTAACCAAGAGAATAGCTGGTTGAATGGTTGGGGGATGGTGGAAATGATGTCAGAAAACAGGGTCCACAAGAGTGAATGCAGGAGAGCTTTCTGATGAGATCGGTGATGACTGTCTTGGTACGAGGAAACTGGTTAAACAACAGAAATCATTGATGTTTCGAACATTTTCCTGAGCAAGTGCCACTCATACCGGAAAGTAATTCACCCTGATCAACCACAACACATTATGTATAGTATTTGCAGTTAACTAGCCAGCATTTTTCACCAGAGTTCAAAGACAAAATTTTGTTGTTTTTTTTCATGTTTTTTTTCCCTTTCCAAACCCGAATGATCCAACATTACACAACATCTCGTGGTAATCCAGTGATTTTGAAGTTGATGCTCCCTATGAAAAAAATACCAGAACTGTGGGGTTTTTGTTGACCCCATTTATTCACAAAGCCACAGATCATATTATAATCATAATCAGTTGGTTCGTTGTATCCCATGTGCTAAATTGTTGAGTCTGTTATGTTATGTTATATTATGTTATATTAAGTTATATCATGTTATATTATGTTGAATTAATATTATGTTATATCCCGTACTAAATTTACTAAGTGATAATCGTTAGCACCATCCCAATATTCCAAAATATATCAGTATAGTATGTATCCCAGCTTTAATCATACTACATTTGGTTATTCATATCCCTAGATATACCTAAGAAATCCCCCACTGATCACATCCCCCCTGGCAGGAGAAGATGTTCACCTTGGTTCAACATGTCCCCGTGGAGAGCTTCAAAGGTGCCATGCCCCGCCCAAGCAGAACTGTTTCTTTTTGCCACAGGAGTTGAGAGTTGATATTTACGGATGAATACGGGATATGATGGGATATATATTCATATATATATATATAAATTCATTATATTTAAGGGTAGTTAATGGTAAGTTAACCAATTGAAAGTTATGGAGTAACATATATATATATGATGTTTTTGTTTAAAAAAAAAACAATGGTATTTTGAAAAGGGCTCAGACGTTTCGATGTTTGGATGTTTCAGCCCTGCAGGTCTCCAGACTGAGAACGTCCGAGATGAGTGAGTGGCGTCTCCTGGCCTGACAGCTGGGATATGCTGGGGGAGTCTGAATTGGGGATGGGTCAAAACCCTGGTACCTAGTGAACCCCTAAAATAGCTGGGATAAAATGGATGTTCATCCCACTTAAAAATGTATCTATAGGTATTGATCCATACCCAATTGATTATAGGATATGCTGGGGGATATTATACATATGGGGGTATCCATAAATGATATAAATGGTGGTACCCAATAGCTGGATGGTTTATAATGGAAGATCCTATTTAAATGGATGATTTGGGGGTACCCCTACCCCAGGAAACCTCCATATGGCTATGAATCAATACCTATAGATACAATTTGAGTTTGGGGATGAACATCCATGAATCCCAGCTATTTTGATGTGAACAGAAGGGGTACAGGGATCCCCCATATATTTTATTCAATCTGACAAAGCCAATGCCATAAACCTACCTACCATTTGGATCCATTGGGGAATGGTTTAGAGAAGCCATAAGAATGGTTATTTTGAGGATGGTTTGTTTTTGGTTTTACCACAACGTATACATATCTCTCTCTATATATATATATATACACATATATATATATATAGATACTTGGAAATTGATTGGACAATGATGGGGAAACGAGGGATTCTGGATCAACATGAAAAACCTCCAGGGTTTGGGACCCCAATGGTCCAAAGACTGAATGGTTCAGTTGCCTTGTTTCAGGGCCCGAGCTGCTCCAAACACAGAACAAGAGATTGAAACAAAATGAACATTGCTGGAAAGAAGGGTAAGATTTGGTTGATCCAGGGACTTTTTGTGGGGCTTTTCGGAGCTTTTTGGGGAGATATGTTGCCCGTGAAACCGAGACTTTTGCACTGGTAGGTATAGTCACAGTCAACTTCATTCCCAAGGCCCTAGACCCAAAGTACTGCTGGACCCGAGGTACTAGACGAGACAAGGGCGCGGATCTGCAGAAAAAAAAGCGCAGAGATGGACGGAAATCTGAAACTAGGAGGGCGATGTAAAGACATGTTTCTTGACACAAGGAGTAGATAAGTGATGACAAGTGTACGTGTTGCGTAATATGCCTTTTGATGTGTATATGGATGTATTCATTATCATTGTATACTATAACTACGATGATATGTATATATATATATATTATCACATTATTCTATTAGACTATAATATATGTATGCTTATATATGATTATATATGATTAAATTATATATGATCATATAATATTATATATGATTATATACGATTATATTATATATACATATACATATACATATACATATACATATGCATATACATATACATATACATATACATACACTTCAATGAATAGTGCTAAACACATAACACCTATGACAATGATTGAATCTGACATCCTATCCATCAAATGTCAGGTCCTGGCAAAACATGGGGCAGGCCGTTGACAAAATTGCCAGCATCGGTTGACTTTTATGAAGTTCAGATGGCCAAAAGGTATTCTATTCATACTCACTGGTGGTTAATAGTGGTTAATAGTGGTTAATAGTAGTTAGTAGTGGTGATTTCAATCATTTAAGATTATCATGTTGATCAAGTTTGATCAATATGGCTTCGTCTTAAGAATGTGTGTACCCCGAAGTCCATTCGTTATTTAATAGCCATTTGGCTTGTTAAGCCCCGCATTGTCAGACACACCCAAAAAACATATTAGTGTTGATGGGTTATACCTCACCATATCATTAAAAACATATATGAATAGTGGTTATAGTTGATGGGTTAAGCAAACATATATGTTGATTTGATGGGTTATACCTCACCAAGTATTCCACTACAAATCCTCATATCATGTTTGCTTCACGGTCGCATTTGTCGGGGTCGCAGGTCGGTGGCTCAAACAGCAGATCGCCGCCCCCACTAATCCACTAATGGATAGCAAAGGTTATCATCCAGGTGATCAAAGGGAACAAATAAAGTAAACATGTGATGATCATGTGATTGTCATGCTTTAGGTGGCAGGAAACCTATGGAAACCTCTCAATGCTCGAGCCAAATGGAAATTGTACTCTTTCAACATCAAACACTCGTAGTCGCCTGGGATCACCTGGGCCACATGGACTTGGAGTCTCCAATCCACAGAAGTCGGACATTCCGATCATGTGTTTTCTTGCTTCAATGAGTGCTTTTAGCGTCAAAGATATGACCCAAAGGAGCGCAGTCCTTTGAGCCACCTATGTCCATATGATTCCAAAATTATGTGTATATATAATTATATATATATATATTTATAATTATACATAATATAAAGAAGCCAGAAAATCTGCCTGTCTCCAGCGAACACGAATTGGTTCATCAACCATCGCCATGAGCAAAGACAAAGAAACTGCCGTGGATGAGCTGCCTGGCAGACGACACCGACTGTCAAGTTCTGTACACAAACATGAGCATCAACATGTATGAGAATTTATGATTGCACAATTCTGTTGTATAAGTACACATATGATTTATGTTATGTGGGAAGTACTCAACATACAGTACTACATTTATGAGTACGCAACATAGTCATAACCAATTATATCGAATGGGATTTGAGCCCCATAATTGGGTTATAACCCCCATTATGGTTGGTTCAACCGTCCAAAACATATTGACGGTATACTCAGATCCCTTTTCTTTTTGGACATTGGTGCTTTTGAAACGTCTGGTTTTGGGTGTGCTATGGCCAAAATTTGACCCATGACCACATCATGAGTTGTCTCTTTTTCCTGATGGGGACCTCCTTTCATGCCCATTTATGACCAGGATTGTGTTGCGATCTTCAAAAAACAGGTTCCTACCCACTCTGATTGTTGCAAGATGTTACAGGTTCAAATGCTTTCAGTATTGATTTGTAGGGATCACGGACCGCTGAACAGAAATCGATCGGAGTTCATGGGGGTTTCTTAAAATTGGGGATCTCAAAGTCACCACGGGTTAACCTGTACTGAAATGGAAATGACTTGAATGATTTGGGGTTCCCCTTTTCAGGAAACCTCCATATCATACTGTATCATGTATCATACTATATCCACGTGTATCCCAAGCGTTTGGGGATAGATCAGAAGCGTTTTTTAAGCGTCAGAACCAATGGGCCATGGGCCTGGAAGAATCTGAGGCTTTCTGTTGGGATGCTTGCTTCGCTCATGCGCCTTCAGGCAGGATTTCGTCACGGATGGTCCTCCGTAATGACACCATTCCCCAAAGATTAATCATCGAACTTATATACATACTATATATATACCTAGAGCAACCTCAGGCTAGAATTTGAGCCTGAATGTGTTTAGGCTTCTTTTTCTGCCTGACCTTGGAATTCTCGCCTGAATCTAAATTCCTGCCTGAAAGGGTTTTCTACATTTTTGCTCAAAATTTTTGTTCCCTAAACTGCTCAAAATCGTTTCCTCGCCAATTCTCGCCTGATTCCCGGGTATTCCCGCCTGATTCCCGGGTATTCCCGCCTGAATTGGTGAACACCAAAACACAAAAATAGCTCTCAAAACAAGAGCTCACACATTGAGCCAAAACTGGCAATTCCAGCCTGAATGGACAATCTCGCCTGAATCGATGCTCAGGCTAAAAAGTAGCCCGAGTCCCAAAAAGGCTACTATTTGGTTTCAGGCCTAAATTTCTGCCCGTTGGAGGCGGCAGGTATATGGTATACTATTACATATAGTTAGTGTACATGGTATTACATGGTATTCATACTATACATCATATATAATACTAGATGGCTATAATCATACAATCATATATATATAGTATACATATTACATGTGCAATACATATGATAAACATAGATGTTATATACAATACATACACGTAAAAAAGTGAAAGTTGTTTTCTGTGCGTGATAGCACACGTGTTTATATCACACATCTATACAAAAATAAAATATCAATCTTATTATCTTATACAACTATACACATTATTGATAAGCTTGCACAGTATGTCATTAGTTTTATATTTTCATACATACAGAATATATATATATTATATACATTGTGGTAAAACAAATAACCAACTAACCATCCCCAAAATCACCATCAGCGGGTACTACGTCTACTATCCTCAAAGGGTACCTTTACGGCATTGGGTTTCCAACATTATTCCAGTTATAAATTATTCATCCATTATTGTTGCTTATTAGCAATTAATGACATTTAATGACCATCATTAACCATCATTATCTATCTATAATATATATATATATTATATATATATATATGTGTCCCATTTATGGCATTGGGTTTCCCGGATAAGAAGTACATAAGAAACGCAATCTTCATTATTATTATTATTAACCATTATTAATCATTATTAATCATCATTCACCTACATTTCTAATTCCCACATACTATTAACCATCATTAACCTTCACATCCACCACCCCCATCCCGACGCGTAACGTTTTGACAACGCACCGGACCGGACCGTTTAGGGCTGCCGCAGCTACACTGCGGTGGACTCGAGTCGAGCCTCGAAGGATCTGCGGGAGATCCGCAACAGCAAAGTGAGTTCGGAGGCCTTTTTGGGGCCTGTCGGGTCAAATTTCCATGGGATTTTCCATGAAAACCATCCAGCTATTGGGAGGGAAACCCCCATTTTAGGAAACCTCCAAATGGCCATTTTTTGGGTCATGATTGTGATTATGAACCATCAGCTGATTTATGATTTATGATATTTTGCGTTTTATGTTTATTTTAGAATCAATGTTGAATATATACACTGGAATGCACCCAATTATAGTTACTATATGTTAGTAAATCACAGTGAATCTATGATTGTCATTATAATGATTGGTCAATAGAAACATATGATATATACTTGACTCACTATGTGATTGGTCATGAGAGGTTAAGCCTTCTCCTCATCAACCTTTTTCAATGGAAAAAGTACATGTGGCTGTGCCTGAAAAATATGGCACCTTAAACGTATTCTGATGTGTTCCCCCCTGTAAAACAAGGGTTATCCGGATATCCCATGATTGTTGGACAAACCCACATGAAACCGTGTTGATTGAAGGAAACATTGATGAGTCAGGATGATTTATCAACTCTTGAACATATGGATATTTTCATTGAGCATGCTACATTAGCAGTTAGCAGTGCTTAGTAATAATGATTAGCAATGGAATTAGTGCTCTATAAAGTGGAATAATGATCACCATTTGTTTGACCCATAGTTCGGAATAATCTGAGAAGTCTATGGAAGTCTTAGATAAATATCTGAAATGGATGATGCCCTCTGGTAATTTAACATAGCTATTGAAAATGACACATTTATCGTTGATTAATCTATTAAAGATGATGTTTTTTCCAGTTCACTATGTAAACGTTTACCAGAGGGTAACACCTACATATTTTCCATCCTGGTGCCCTGGGGTCACATGGACCAAGGGTCCATGACGCCATGGTTTTTTGTGTTTGGAGTTTGGTGAGCCATGGTGACTTCGGGGATGGTCCCTTCATAAGGGACCGGAACATGAATAGTTCCCAGGCAAAACCCAGGTTTTCTTCGGGGGAAGTGATTCATAGGGATGAAACAAAATACATTAATTTACCATGTTCGGAATCCGATTCATGGTGGATGATTAGATGGATTTAGATGGTAGCAGTGGCTGCTCAACCACTTAGGATTATCACCAACTGGGAATCACTGCTCCGGAGGGTCAAACAGCCACTTCCACTTCTTTTTGATGATGATGGTCCATGGGGAAAGTTAACTGGTGATCAGAAGTGAACCCAGAAATGGATCATTACACACCCAAAAATGCAAGGAATGGGGATAGAGGGGAGTTACCATTCAAATAAGTCAGCAGTTATAGATTGTTTTATAGCCTAATATGGCCTAGTAATGGGATGTGTCAGCATTGCTGTCAGGAAAGCAACCCCATTGTTGTTGATGAGAAGTTGGGTTTCTGATATACATATATATATATATATATTGGACCATGCAGAACATCAATACCATTTTGAGTCATTTTGCATACCTCTATGGTTGCATTAATATGCTGTGCAAATATGTATATATATATATATAATATTATAGATGATATTACACTATGTAGTCGTGTTTTTTCAATTTCAGTTCAGTTTGTTTGACAATAGGGTACATACCCCCAAATTTTGAATGGGTTTTCCCCTGGAGTCAGTTTGCCAAGGATGTAACTGGCATGTCCATTTCCATTTGAGGGTATCCTTGACTTTCAGACACAATCCATTTGATTCCCTCCGCCAGTCCGAAGTTGGTTTGTAAATCCCATTAGCTGGTTTGATCTATCTCGCATAAAGCTTAGCTATCTTGAGTGTCCCCACCTTGCAGCTATAGGCGAAAAAAAGGGATTTCAACCATTAGACATAAGGATTTCCTGAGAATTCATAGGAAAGACATAAGGATTTCCTGAGAATTCATAGGAAAGACATAAGGATTTCCTGAGAATTCATAGGAATTCACGGCATGAAATGAGCAATTCTGTAGCATCACAGGACCCCGGACCTCTCATAGGCGCGCCAGCAGATCCGCGACGACCTGCAGAACTTTTGGTCCGAGCTACGGACCTTGCGACGCAGGTGTGGCCATTGGTACCGAAACTGGAGCTACTGTGCCATATGGGTATGGGTCAATACCTATAGATACATTTTTAGTGGGATGAACATCCATTTTAACCCAGCTATTTTGGGGTTCACTAGGTACCAGGGTTTTGACCCATCCCCATATAGAGCCATATTTTTTCTTGGGTATAACAGCTAGAAGATTATGTGTAATTTTTATGTAACCCCCCAATTTTGCTTTGGTAGTAGAACCGGCTGCATGTCGTTGGTTTTTCACCAAGAACAAATGTAACAAATTGACATCCCCTGGTGGTTCCAGGCCACAGCGCCGTAGTGGAAGTCCGGAGAATCATCGGAAGGGCCGCAGCTTGGCCGTCCGGACTGGCTTAGGAAATATATGGAAATATAATATACCTATATCATGGCTAAAGTTTTTGTTGTTGGGTTAATTAATAATATTTAATAATCATGGATTTTTTGATGGGGATATATTACCATATGATGGCATACAATAGGGATTATATGGTGTGTATATATAATTATATATATATATATATAAATACCCTCCGGTGTCATCATAGTGAGATGATCATGAGAATTCCTCCAAAATAATGCCTTCAATGGTAAAATCATCTATAAATAGAGGGAATTTTCCAGCAAGTCATGTGTTATAACCGGAGGGTCGGTAATAGGTGGTTTCATGGGAAATGATATTGGAATTATAGGGATAAGATGGGAGAGAACTTTGAGACTTCGATTTGCTGAGTTCGTGGTGTTTGCAGCCCTTTCAGCAAATCCAAGATACCCAAGCCCGAGAAATTGTAAGGTAAAGTCAGCGGCTTAGCCGGTTACCTCTCTTAGAGAGAACTGGCTCTATGAAAGTTCTGGCATCGCAGAAACACTGGAAATTCTGGTGTGACTCTAAGATCTTCAGTGCCAAAGCACCCCCACATCCCGAGGTCGTCGTGCGCGACGACGACGGCACCGCGGCGAGGAGAAAAGAGAAGGTGGGATAGCTGGTTTACCAAGCTACCATATGTGTATTTTTATGGCTATGGGTCAAGAGCTTGTACCCCTGGTGAACCTCAAAATAGCTTGTAAATAGATGTTCATCCCACTAAAATTGATAGTAATAGGTTTTGACCCACCCCCATATTAATACTGGTTGGTGGTTTCAAACATTTTTTTTTTTATGTTCCATAATATATGGGATAATCCTTCCCATTGACTAATATTTTTTCAAGATGGTTAAAACCACCAACCAGAATATATTATCACATATTAATCATACTATATGTGTATATATATATATATGTATAACTGTACATGTACGGATAAATACATATGTATAACTATATGTATAACTGGTATATTCAATGTTTATAAGCATGTTACATCTGGTTATCATCATCCTTTCACTGGATTGCAGAAAAGATGTTGCTCCAGTTGCCCAAACCACTTAGGGGTTCCCCATGTCACAGAATCTGTGCAGGGGAATCCATCCACGGATTTTGTGGGAATCATTTCCACTCTGTGGTTTCAGCCAACATGGATCTCCAAAGATTGGTATTTCAGATTGTCGTCCAAGTAAAACATCTTGTACATTTGGCCGTTTCCAAGTTCCATACGGAATTTCCAATAATCAATGGAATATATCAGTGTAACATGTGGTGTTTTACCATGTAAAACAAACCATCCCCGATTGTTTATGTTTATTGATGTTTATTGGGTATACCGTATACCCCTATAGCCATGGGATGTAAAAATCATCCCCAGGTCATCCCTCCAGCGATGACGCTTCCAACGACCCGAAGCAGCGCCGTGGGCAACGCTACCACAGCGCATCCCCCGGATCCAGTGCCTCCCCGGGATCCAGCCGCAGCCCGGTCCGAAAAAGACGGTTTTCTGCCCCGTTCTGGGGGTCGTCATGGGATCAGTCGTTGATCCGGTGGGGTGACCCACATGTTCGGATTCGTCCCTAATGGGAAATGCACCCAGAGAAATAGAATGCAAACTGGATGAAGTATGGCTAAATTATGCCTTATAATTGCATTTGCACCAAGCGTAAGCGTGGACGCCTCTCACATTCTCCCACACATATCCATACATGCATATCGGCACAGGGTGGTTTGTTGCCGGCATAATACGTTTTTACTCGGTGTCTTCCGTGTCCTCATATTTTCTCATACAAATTATGCAGTTGCTGCATACCTGCAGGGATTTTGAATAGGTTTGATTCGATATAGTGACTTAATCATCCTTAATCTTGAAAACATGAGATTGTTGCCCTCCAATATACCCACAACTCTCAGAATGATGACACGTTTCTTAAGTTTTCTGCTCAAGCTGAAAAAACATCTCTGAGTCTATCCGCACATGTACGGCACAAGATTGAAGTCATCGGTCGCGCGGTCAAACTTCTGGTGCAAGTCTATTGCTGAAAATGATGACCTAATGAAACCCTTCAACTAAGAACCATTCGCTGATACACCAGTTGAATCTCCACTAGCCCCGTTTCGAATACGCAGTTTTTGGCCATGGATTGGAAGCGCCGACGGACCTTGCCAAGTGCGTGCGTGAAGAAAGTGGCCATTGTTGGAGGAGCTTTGGCGATGTAACACTCACTGGATCAATGGGGTCTTGGAACTTTATTTTGTTCAAACGGGAATCATTCAGTTGGGAGGACGAGCTAGGTGTATAATATATAATAGTCTAGTTAAGGAAATTATCCTTGGAACATACTCTGATGACTCCAGCCAACCAGCCGTCGGTGATGTTTGAAATGGACAAAAGGGACATTTACCAAAGCCAGTTGAAGGCATCAACCCACCATGCACGCGATCAACACATTTGGTGTGTTTGCGGTTTGGTCATCTTGGATCTGTCATTGATATTCATTGTTGTTTCATGTTTTTTCCTCGTGTTTCCGTTGGTGACTTTTCCGTAGATCAAGACTACTCTTTGTGTTTAGTTTATCTCCAGAACTGGTTCAAAGATGAAAGCGAAGGAGAAAGCGGACAGAAAGCACCACCATGTACATTACATTACATTACATTACTGTACATTAGATCACCAAAATCTACAAACACAGAATTTCTGCTTAACTTTCCTTTAAAAAATTAGTCAACCATCTCCTTTAAGGTTCGCCATTGCTGAGGAACGCATGGCAATGAAACCAACGGTGTGCACTTGGCGAAGCATTTCATGAGGCCACCTGGGCACGTCCTGGGCTGCAGGTGTCCTGGTGTTCCCAGCCGTGGAATAGTTGGGGTGTTTGTCCAGAAACCGGAGGGGAGCCTCAATGACTCAATGATCCCCAATATTTGGTCATTTTAAATGTTGGGAAATACATGGACATATATGGAAATACCACAATTTGTGGAGACAACTTGAGTGAACAGTTCCTCAGCCACTTCCACCGACTCGAGCGACGTGAGATGACTTGAGTGCAGAAGCTGCTGCTTTTGACTTCCTGGTTTCTGTCCTTACCTGGGATAGCCTAAGTCTCAACATTGTCAGAGATTAGGGTCTTCCACCATTTTGTTGGGCAAACCCATAGACCCTTTTTTGACCTCGCAAAATTAGGCACCGTCTGTGTTGTGTTCAGAATCGAAACACAGCTCGAAAGCTCAAAGCTGATGTGAAGATGTTGACCAAAATTGTGATCAAATTGCTTGGCAAGAGGTAATCATTCGCAAAAGCGCGGTGCCCATTGAAACAATCTATTTTGGTGGATTCCCATTCTTCAAGTTCAGAACGCATACCCGGCATACCCGAAAGCATCCATTGATCTCATGCTCCATCTACAGTAAGTTGTTTGTTTTACGGATACGACCAAATGTTTGGGATACATTGAGGATCGTTTACAAACTTGGATGGATAGTTTTATTTACTTCAAACTTATCTAATTTAGATGGTCTTGAATGTATTGATAATACACAATAATTTAAATTGACAATAATACACTAGCTATAGCTAAGACTTAGCTATGAGGCCTATACCCTGCGGTAGTTTGACATAGCAATGGTTGACATAGTCAGTTTATAGATGATTTATGATGATTTACCTTTAAGAAATTGTGATTTTCCAGTTTGCTATGTGGCAAATGACCAGAGCATATATCCTTATTACAGTAACCATTTTTCATCCATTATTGTCGGTTGTTTTCCCATCATTAGCCACTATTAGCAAGAGGTAATTATTATATATCATTAACCACAATCAATCATAATTATCCATCATTATTCACCACTATCACCCACTATTAACACGTATTAAACATTAAATTAACCATAATTAATAATTAGCATTTGATTTATTCAATTATTAAACATTACTAACCATTCTTAACCAGTATGAATATCCATTGATTCTCCAATCATTGGGTATGGACACCTCCCGCAGGAACATGTCCCTGGTGAAGCGTCCCTCCTTCGAGACGGAGGTGTCGTTTTTAAAGACGGTGACAGAAGAGTGGAAGATATATGGATTTCAATATGCATGATTTGTAGATTCAGTGATTCAGTTGGTGATTTTATGGGATTTAGTTGTTTTTTTTGGGATATCTTGGGAAATTTTATGGGATATACGGGCCATGTTGGGTCGCTATAGGACCTGCACTGCAGGTCCTTCTGTCCAATGTTGCGGCGATCGAACAGAACACTCGCTACGTTGAGGAAGATTTGAACAGGTGAGGTTTGTGTCGTTTTTGTCCACTTAGATCCACTGATTTATAACCCATGTGCAACCTATGTAGAAGTGGAGATATTCCATCTTATAGCGAGTTGTTTTTCCATTTGCTAAGTGGGATGCACCCCCAAGCAGGGGTATGGTGCGGATTGAGCAACCAGAAATATAGAGGATTGGGATCTGAACATATTTAAAGCATCACAGATGGTTTCGTTTTGAGCATGAAGCATGGAGACAGTTGTATCGGATAGCGATCAAAGACGTGGGTTCTAAGTGCCAGGAATGTCTTAACAAATATACGGGTTGTCAGAGTGGCAGCAAATTGGCCGATCTTCTGACCCAGCCAAGTTGGAATTCTCCGATTTGTGGAAGTTCTGCAAGCAATACTCACTCGTGTTGTACTCATGTATGCATGTCACATTTGGGACTACCCTGCTTGCAACCACGAACATCAGCTGTCAACTGAGAGAAGAGAGCAACATGCAGATTTTTGGAATGTAACGGAATGGACTTGTACCCTAGGCCCTAGTTGCCCTAGTTAAATCATATTCATCTATAATGTCAACTTAGAACTAATAAACCACCCCCTATTAATGAACACCCACAGAGCCAGAAAGTTCCGGCAATTTGAAAATGGGTTGGACCCCTCTTATTAATAAGCACAAGTGTCTCCCCCCAATTAATCAACACTCTGCTCACAATTCTGTTTTTTTGATGCTTCTGATGCTTGAGAATGGAATTGGCTCTGATGTTTCTAATGTGATTATTTCTGATGCTAGCTGATGAATACAGTGTCTAATCTATAATTATACGTATGTATATGTATACATATTATGTATGTATATATATATATATGTGAAACTTTCATTTCTTTACAGGCACATATTATATATATATACATACATGTATACATACTTCTTCAGCACAATCATTTCACTGAATCCCCCAAATCCAGAAAAATCCCAAACATTTTGAAGGATTGAACATGCATTGTCCTTATTAATTTCTTTATTAAAAAATGCATTTTGAGAAGGTCACAAAGGGTACCGCTTTAGGTGGCTTGTCCCCCCAAAATAATGTGCATGCATCCCCCCAATTAATCAACACCCTCAGCCCACCTGGCCTCATATTGCTGATCCTTTCTTCTTTGCTTCATAGATTAATTACATGACAATCTTATGAATCCCATTCCAAATCTCATGAATCCCTTTTTTTTGGTTTTCTGCTCTATTTGGGGGGGTCGACCTTATCCAGCAGAGAGACCTTCTAGGGAGGGTTTATTTTATAATACGTACTTGGCATTACTGTGTATAATATATATATATATATATATATATGTACCAGTAGTACCGCACAAGGCGGTGGCGGAAGTTTCAGAATAGGAAACCTATAGGAGACGTTGGTTGTTGTGAATCACGGATGGCAGAGCGAACCCACTGATTGACCGAAAGGTGGTTGGAGTTGTGTTTGCTGGAGTGGTTGCAATGGTTGCAGTGGTCACCTCACCCACAACTGCTGGATGTAGTGTGATGTACTGCAAATGTAGTTGTAGTTGTAGCGTAGTGGAGTTGTAGTTGTGGTGTAATGTAATTAGTGTAGTGTAGTTGCAGTCATATAGTTGTAGATGTAGTTGTTTTGTCGTTGTAGTTGTAGTTGTTGTAGTTGTAGTTGTTGTTGTAGTTGTAGCTGCAGTTGTTGTGTGGGTGTAGTTGTTGTGTAGTGTAGTAGTAGTAGTAGTAGTAGTAGTAGTAGTAGTAGTAGTAGTAGTAGTGGTAGTAGTAGTAGTAGTTGTTGTTGTTGTTGTTGTTGTTGTAGTTGTAGTAGTAGTAGTAGTTGTTGTTGTTGTAGTTGTAGTTGTAGTTGTTGTTGTTGTTGTTGCTGTAGTAGTAGTAGTAGTAGTAGTAGTAGTAGTAGTAGTAGTAGTAGTAGTAGTAGTAGTAGTAGTAGTAGTAGTAGTAGTCCGCCGACCCCGGCCTTCGCCAAGGCAGGGGCGGCGCCTGGGACCACCGCAGGTGTGGAGCCTGTTTTTGTTGGCTTGCCACTACCTTGCCTTCCGCCAGGCACTCAGGCCACTGCCCCTCTGTTAGTTAAGGGCGTTCAAGCCTGCTGCGAGCAGGCACTCAGGCCACTGCCCTCTGTTGTTATAAGGGCGTTCAAGCGTGCCGTTTGCCAGGCCTCAAATGCCTAAAACGCTGCGCGGCAGCTTCGAGCAGGCACTCCCGCCACTGCCCTCTGTTGCTAAGGGCGTTCAAGCCTGCCGTTTGCCAGGCCTCAAATGCCTAAAACGCTGCGCGGCAGCTTCGAGCAGGCACTCAGGCCACTGCCCTCTGTTGTTAAGGGCGTTCAAGCGTGCCGTTTGCCAGGCCTCAAATGCCTAAAACGCTGCGCGGCAGCTTCGAGCAGGCACTCCGGCCACTGCCCTCTGTTGCTAAGGGCGTTCAAGCCTGCCGTTTGCCAGGCCTCAAATGCCTAAAACGCTGCGTGGCAGCTTCGAGCAGGCACTCAGGCCACTGCCCTCTGTTGTTAATGCCTAAAACGCTGCGCGGCCGCTTCGAGCAGGCACTCAGGCCACTGCCCTCTGTTGTTAAGGGCGTTCAAGCCTGCCGTTTGCCAGACCTCAAATGCCTCAAAGGCTGTGCGGCAGCTTCGAGCAGGCACTCAGGCCACTGCCCTCTGTTGTTAAGGGTGTTCAAGCGTGCCGTTTGCCAGGCCTCAAATGCCTAAAACGCTGCGCGGCAGCTTCGAGCAGGCACTCAGGCCACTGCCCTCTGTTGTTAAGGGCGTTCAAGCCTGACGGCTCAAATGCCTCAAACGAGCAGGCACTCAGGCCACTGCCCTGTGTTGTTAAGGACGTTCAAGCCTGCCGTTTGCCAGGCCTCAAATGCCTCAAACGCTGTGCGGCAGCTTCGAGCAGGCACTCAGGCCACTGCTCTCTGTTATTAAGGGCGTTCAAGCCTGCCGTTTGCCAGGCCTCCAATGCCTAAAACGCTGCGCGGCAGCTTCAAGCAGGCACTCAGGCCACTGCCCTCTGTTGCTAAGGGCGTTCAAGCCTGCCGTTTGCCAGGCGTCAAATGCCTAAAACGCTGCGCGGCAGCTTCGAGCAGGCACTCCGGCCACTGCCCTCTGTTGCTAAGGGCGTTCAAGCCTGCCGTTTGCCAGGCCTCAAATGCCTAAAACGCTGCGTGGCAGCTTCGAGCAGGCACTCAGGCCACTGCCCTCTGTTGTTAAGGGCGTTCAAGCCTGCCGTTTGCCAGGCCTCAAATGCCTAAAACGCTGCGCGGCAGCTTCGAGCAGGCACTCCGGCCACTGCCCTGTGTTGTTAAGGGCGTTCAAGCATGCCGTTTGCCAGGCCTCAAATGCCTCAAACGCTGCGCGGCAGCTTCGAGCAGGCACTCAGGCCACTGCCCTCTGTTGTTAAGCGCGTTCAAGCCTGCGACATGGCTCAACGCCCGGCTGTAGCCCCAAATTCTGCGGAGCTTTGTGCTACATGATTCCATCGATTGGTTTAGGTGTGAAAATCTCAGCCGGAAACCATATAAGCATATTATAACATCATATGTATATATATATATATATATATATATATGCATAGTATGTATATCCGCACCCTTGAAAGGGGGTCGGCGGCACCAGGGCGTTAGCCCATTCTATTGTTGTTGTTGTTGTTGTTGTTGTTGTTGTTGTTGTTGTTGTTGTTGTTGTTGTTGTTGTTGTTGTTGTTGTTGTTGTAGCTGTAGTTGTTGTAGTTGTAGTTGTAGTTCTAGTTGTAGTTGTAGTTGTTGTGTAGTTGTAGTTGTAGTTGTTGTTGTTGTTGTTGCTGTTGTTGTTGTTGCTGTTGTTGTTGTAGTAGTTGTTGTAGTTGTAGTTCTAGTTGTAGTTGTCGTGTAGTTGTTGTAGTTGTTGTAGTTGTAGTTGTTGTAGTTGTTGTGGTTGGTGTTGTTGTTGTGGTTGTGGTTGTGGTTGTGGTTGTTGTTGTTGTTGTTGTTGTTGTTGTTGCTGTTGCTGTTGCTGTTGCTGTTGTCTTCGAAGTTAGGGTAGTTAAGTTAGTGAAGTTAGTTAAGTTAGTCAAGTTAGTTAAGTTAATCAATGTCTACTTTTTCGACATCTTCACGTCAAAAAAGGCTCAAAACCCTCAGTTTTTTTACACTTTTGACTTCGAAATGTGCTTCGCGCCACAACGGCGTGCACTTTTTCGACACTTTTTCGACATCCGAACCTCCAAAAGTGGTCCGAGACCGTCAGTTTTTAACACTTTTGACTTCAAAATGTGCTTCGCGCCACAACGGCGTGCACTTTTTCGATATCTCAACTTCCAAAAGTGCTCCGAGAATGGTGTGTTTTGTACATTGTACATTTTCACTTTGAAATGTACTTCGCGCCACAACGGCGTGCACTTTTTCGACATCGCAACTTCCAAAAGTGCTCCGAGAATGGTGTGTTTTGTACATTTTCACTTTGAAATGTACTTCGCGCCACAACGGCGTGCACTTTTTCGACATCGCAACTTTCAAAAGTGGTCCGCTCCTCTAGTGTTTTGTCCATTTTGACTTGGAAATGTGCTTCGCGCCACAACGGCGTGCACTTTTTCATGTCTCATCTGGCCAGCTGGCTCCGCACCCGCCGCTTTAGCGAGCCCACTTTTCGACCCTCCGGAGCCACAAATCATTGGAAAAACACAGTGAATCGCGACTTTCCTATCTTTTCGCGCATCTACCTCTTCTTTCTTCTTATCTTTTCTCTTCTCTCTGCCTCTTCCCTGCTCTGCGTTTCAACTGTCCATATTGTCGGAAGTTTAGCTTCTAAACTTCCTTCGAATATATGTATATAATAATATATTATACATATATTATATGTATTTATATATGTGTATTGTCAACCCTGGTCCATTCCACTTCAAAGAAGCTGCCTTTTCGGCATCTTTTTCACCGGCAGGTGCTACTTCCTGGCAGATCTGCAGAACGACCAGATGTCCAGATCCACCTTGGAGCGAAAACGTGCGCGCGAGGCTGGCTTCGTCGGACGTGGGCGGAGCTGGTGGGCAGAGCTGGTGGAGCTGGTGCAGTTCCTTAACTACGCTGATTTATGAGTAGGTTATATATGGTAGGTTAACGGATCTTAGTGGATGTTAATGGGGGTAAATTCACCATGTGTTTCTTCTTTGATGTTGCCGGAATTAGGAAATTGTGGTTTGAAAATTGGATATATCCCAATACATCTCAGTTATCAAGGGTTATATAACATGTTAGAAGCTACTTACCAACCACTTAGCTAATTCTGGCAACATCTATTTTAGCTGGTGTATGAGTAGGACAAGAGGACAATCCATGATACACACCAGACCAACTTGAAATCAACGACGTAGTCCGTCTTGGACATGTGTTCGATCCTTGGGAAATGGTGCTTCTAGAACTCTGCCAGTGGAACGATAGGTTTTGGCCTGCGAACCTGGAGGTGGTATATGGAGGTTTCTTAAGAAGGGGGTACCCCCAATTCATCCAAAAATATACAGACCATTTTAGTAAGCCCATGGTGGCTTGGAGATCCCTGATTTTAGGAAAGCTCCATTTATGTCTGACAGGGCAGGGAATGCTGGTCATACCTCAGTGGTATAGTGACTGACTCCTGACTTGGCGAGGTTGCACTGCAGCTGTTTTTCTGACATCGTTTGAGCCCTTCTCGTTTGAACCCAGAAATCCCACGAAAGGTTCCCAAAATGTGGGAAATCGATGAAAATCGCCATTTCCACAAATTAGTTTACTCTAGGCTAATTTATGTCATGGCGGTATGAAATCGAGGAAAAGCAATGTCCCAGATCATCTTAATTTCAGAACTGGTTCGGCAGTATGAAGTCAAAAAAAAATAATAATCAATGGCAAAAAGCCGTCCTGCAGCCAGAATTGCTGAAACTCAGGCCGCCGTTTCGACACATTTGTTAAAGATCATTTCAAACCACACAACCAGGCCCTTTCAATCATGGATGTATCAACCTGGTGTTTAAGTTTCAGCTTCACCAAAGTTTTACTTTATCAGCCCTCATGGCATATCATCTTAGCTGACTCCCTGGTTTCATTCGGCATGGTGAAGCATGGAGCGACAGCCGAGAGCAACTACCAGTGGTGGACGCACAGCGTGCAAAGCGGCACGCTGGAGCACTCCGGCGAGCAGCTCGCAGTGGAGAAGATGGAGAAGGCCAGGTGAAGGGCACAGCTTACAGCCCATGGGAATATATGGGATAAGCCAGGACATGGGACTTTACTAGGGTTATTCACCAGATAAGTGGGATCCTCCAACAGATGCTAATGTTGTTGTGTGGTGCCATGGTATGATTTGGTCAAAACCCATCTAACAATCGAATACATTGAATACAATATTAATAGATATATCATGATATATCCATAAACCATAGTTCACCTACTTACAAAGCAACTTCGCAAAGTAGGGGGTCGCCCCTGCCCATTCGGAGTATGACAGGATCCATCGGCCACCAGCCGGCGCCACTACTTGCGGCTCATGCGCAACCTCGGAAAGAAGGGTCGATGTTCTCAAGCCTTTCAAGCAGCTGAGGACCTATTCACAGATCACTTGTAGCCTGTAACTTTTCGAGAGAGGGACGCCACCAGGGCCCCATCTTTACAGTGTTTTGTCATGTTTTTGTGATCATTTATGCTTATTTATACTCATAGCCGTCATAGCCCATAGCTTTTTGTTCTTGGTGTTTCCTTTTTGTTTAATGTTACTGTGTTTCTGTTGCATAGTTGCTTGTTGTATATTTCATTTGGTTCTGGAAAGGTCATATAGAGTAGCATGGTAGGGGTGGAGATAGAGCCCATATCCTTTGTTCTACATTGTACATCGTTTATTATTTTCCGACTTTTCCAGACAGCCATGGAACAAAACATTGAAATAATAGATAGATCATCTATAAAGTGGCAAGTTTCATCCATTTTGCATAGCTATGTTAAAGAACCCGAGGGTAGATGTTGCCAGAATTAGTGATTCGTGGTCACTTAAAGGGTGATGAAACCTTGGAACTGGGATGTATCGGGACATACCCCAACTACCACTCACCTAATCCAAGCAACATTTTCAGTACACCTGTCCCATCTTTGCAAATATGAAATGTGACTTGTAAACACGTTTCAGGGATCACCAATAAGCAGCGAGCACTGGTAACACTGGTAGCACCAGGAGATGAAACGCTCCGGCCTTGCCATGGATGTGAGCTGCTATGCAGCTTTAGTAGAGGTGGCCTTGACGAATCGGCTTGACGAATCCCCCAAGTGTTTTTCAGTTTCTGTCCCATGGCCAGCTACAGTGAGATCAAGAGCGGTCCATCTTCGGAAGGTCTTAACGCGGCCTTTAAGTTTAAACGATTGCCATCTGAAACAACATGGGATTTCCTACAAAATCCTGACGCATATATATCCCTTGTATAGTTGTCGAATATCTGCAGGATCTCCCACGTTATTGCTAGCTCAACCCATGTCATGACCTATTCCCATTTCTGTAGTTCAAATTCCCATGTTTTTCACCCCTTTTTCCTTTTTTAAACCGTTTTAAATCCCATTTTTTTCTAGTCAAACTCCTTTTTTTTTGTAGCATTTTTTTTGGTGCACGTATATATGGTACAGGTTGCGGCCCATGTTGGGCCATGTGGGGGCTATGTTGGGCCAGCTTCCGCGAAAGCCAAAAAACACCGTAAATTGCGGGCCTCTAACCCCACTCCCCCGGTCATGGTCATGGTCCCATTCTGGTCCTGGTCGCCGCCCCCCCCTTGTGGGAATGGGGGAGTTTCTCCCCTCCCCCCCTGTGGGAATGAGGGGGTCTCTTGTATGTATGTAGGTAGGTAGTATGTATGTAGGTAGGTAGGTATGTAGGTAGGTAGGTAGGTATGTATGTATATGGGTAGGTATGTATGTGGGTATGTAGGTATGTAGGTATGTAGGTATGTATGTAGGGATGTAGGGATGTAGAGATGTAGGGATGTAGTGATGTAGGTATGTAGGTATGTAGGTAGGTATATATGATATGTTATATGATATGTACTTCAATGTAATACAATGCAATGCAATGTAATGCAATGCAATGCAATGTAATGCAATGCAATGTAATGTAATGTATGTATGTATGTTTGTGATTGCACAGATGTTGGATGCTACGTTGCAGTATTTCCCTCGTACTTGCACAGACCCTTGCTGCTACGTTATAGGATCCTTTCTGGTACATGCACAGACAGTTGATGTTACGTTGCATGACCTTCTATTGCACACGCGCAGACAGTTGATGCAACGTTATAAGGAGTGGTAAGATCTTCCTACTTCCGCAGTTGCTTGATGTTGTGTTACAAGCTCTTCTCTTGTACTTCCGTAGATGGACCAATGAAATCAAACCCTTGCTATATTGTCGTCAACCCCCACACCCCCAAATTTCAATGTTGTCTTTGGCCTGTGCGCTTGGGTCCAGTGGACAAAAAATGACAAAAAATCAAACCCTGAACACAGAGGAAACTAGATACCGTTTTGTTCAACATTGAGATTTGGGGTGTGGGGTTTTACTTCGTAGCTGTCTGTAGGGTTTGACTGTTTTGTCCATCTACTGTCTCATGCTGTTACTTTCTTCTTCGAAAAATCTCGGCGAACGGGACCTACACAGGCTCTCTTGCACAGGACATTCTATACAGATATCCTTGTAAAGGAATCGCGCACAGCAGTTTTTACAGAGATCCTGTCAAGGAGATCTTGCGCACGATCCTCTACTCTTCACAAAGGGAACTTGCAGAAGATACCCTGGTATTTGTGTCACGTTCCTTGCAACTGGTGTCTCTTGCCGAGATAATTCGTATGGTATGTCCGCCGTCCCATATCATAACTGTCTGTAGGAAGAATTCTCGAACATGCCGAAAATGAGCAAATTGTCTTTGGTCATGATGATGCTGGTGATGATGATGACGAAACAAAGGAAATAAGGGCTTATAATAAGGATCTCATCTGTCCTGAAGTCTGGAGTGGATATGCTTTCCAGAAGCCAAGACAGAAAATAAGCAGCTGACCTGCCTAACAACAGAACCCCCATCCTTGTCATTACTCCAACAGCACAGCAGCAAATATCTTGCATTGCATCATTTGCTTTCATGGGCTTGCCTGCGCCTTCATCTGCGGAAGACATGGTTGACTACTACAACATTCTCCAGGGTGTCACTGTCATTGACTTCGACTCCAGCCCCTTGTTGTCTCAGTAGCTCAGAACCTCCAGCCCCTTGTCTGTTTGACTTGACTTGGCGGTCAAGAGATCATTTGGGCAACTATACCCACGATTCTACCAGGCTGGGCCAACCTGTTGCCGTGCTACAGTAAACTTTTTGTGTCTCTGGGGAATGGCTTTCTGTTAACTTCCGGTGTAGCTTCACGCATTTCCTCAAGGCACTTGCGTACAGAACGCGAAACCCTTCCTCTTCAATTGTAAGCCATGTGCCGTCAAAGCCCTTACTGCAGCAAGATTGCTGCGTAACAAGAATTCGGGCGTAGCGGCCGTCAGGAAGGTCCTCTCAGCAGTGACTGCGGAGGCTTGCAAGGACAAGGGCGCCGCTTGCTTCAAGCATGTCTCCGTGCAGGAAGAGGAGCTTATGCGCCATATGCACGGGGAAGGGTTTGGTGTCAAGAGGATAGCATCTGCCATCGGATGCTCCACGGACACTGCCTCCAAGCATGTATTCAAGAAGTACCTCAAGAAGGCCCCCAAGGGTGGGCCTGTGGCTATTGGACCAGCCACCTACCAGAAGGTGAAAAAGGTCTACCAAAAAATGTTGCGAGAATGCAAGGGACAGGAAGTCATAGTGGCAATGGTCAAAGCACGCATGAAGCTGAAGTGCTCTGTGAAGTCCTTGAGCCGAGCATTCTGACAACACGGCGTGTACTTTCGGCCTCTGTACGAAAAGCCGGATTTGTCCCCCGAAGGCATTCGCAGTTGCGTGTGCCCATGCTGGTTGGCCCCACCAACTCTGGGAAATCCACTCTTGCACTGCCCTTCCGCAACCTCTTTGGTTTCAGCCACGTTTTTCACAAACCAGCATTGCATTCGTCCTTCGCA